GTTTTATTTGCTGCTCACATAAACATAGAGTATTGTAGCTCTGTACAATCTCTGTAAAATCTATGTAAATATGTGAATAAAAAATCAGACCAGGCATCATTTGAACTTAAAATGACAATGACGAAGTCAAACTATACAGGGTGCGCCAGAACTCGCGCCCCAGAGAAAATATTCAAGTAGATAAGATACCAGGAATATGGAGAAAATTCTATGTGTCAAAATATTTCGACATTTATTCTTTGACATTTGACATTTTTTTATGTCTATTTAATGATACTGATGATCTTGTATTTGTTTTTTTTACAATTATCTAGTAAAGGTACAAAACTTTTGCCAATAAGTCACAAAATAACATTGAACAGAGTTACAATTTGGGATAGAGCATCCTTGTTTCCTCTTATAATAGCCTCTAGCAAAAAAACTTGGAAACAAATAGAGTCAAAGTACAAAATTTTAGCTCTCATAACTTTGAAATTTTTACAGATAATAGTTATTTATGGTATAAGTGGGTTATGTTAGATATTATGTTAGGTATGTGTAACCTACGAGGGCTTGCCCGAGTAGGTTATTACCTCGAGCAGGTAATATCTAATAACCCACGTATGCCATACAACGTTTTATCCAATATTCCCGAATTTTTATCTATTACTATTAGTGACAATCTGTTCCCGTACTCGGTCATCAATATAGTTGAAGATTAAATCTAGTCTCCATTTTAACAACGTATGGTTGCGATGTTGTTTGTTTATAAATAAGAAAACAGTGCTTGAAATTATTTGCGATTTGCATTTTAAATTTAATTTCCTTGAAAATGGAAATATTTGTGCCAGACGATGTACTAGAAGAGGCTCAAGAAGTGGCTGATAATTTACTACCGGCAAAGTCGCGTGAAAAATATGATAAGCAATTTGCCCACTTTGTTACCTGGAGAAAAACAAGAGGAGTCTTTGGGACGAACAAGGACATTCTTCTGCCTTATCTTCGGACCCTCTCTACTACCTGTGTGGGGTCCTCTTTATGGTGTAAGTACTTCATGCTAAAAAGCACATTGAAGATGGAGGAAAAAGAAGACATATCGAAGTAAGCGACCCGGTTAGGTGTAATGCTTTCTTTAAGCCATAAAATATTTCAGATATTCCAAGCTACAAGAGTTTTTGAAGAGAAAATCTTCCAATCATAGAGCAAAAAAAGCTAAGGTTCTTGAAAAGACACATTGATTGATAAGTTTTTGGAAGAAGCTGACAACAACCATTACCTAATGATGAAGATGGTTTTAATAATGGGCATATTTGGAGCGTGTCGATGCGACGCATTAGTAAAAATAACTGTAGGTGATGTTACACAGGTTGGCACATATTTAAGCGTAAATATACCTATGACGAAAACGAACAAACCTCGTCGATTCATTATTGTTAAAGAAGGATGTTCAACGGATCCCATTGCTTTATATCAGAAATATATTTCTCTTCGTCCAGCTAACATAAAGCATGATAGGCTCTTTCTATGTTATCAAATGGCAAATGCACCGTTCAACCAGTAGGAATTAACAAAATAGCAAGCGTTCCCAGTGTTATCGCATCGTACTTGAAATTTATAGCATCCTAAAACATACACAGGGCATAGCTTGAGGCGATCTTCCACTACCTTGCTTGCAGAAGGTGGGGCCGATGTCATTAATGTTAAGAAGCATGGTGGCTAGAGATCTTGTAAAATAGCTTAAGAATATGTTGCAGATTCCAACAACAGTAAAATAAAGATAGCAAAGACAATTGTAGGAATAAACAAATTTTCCACTGATTTGCCAGGTTAGCTTTGCTTTTTATATTAAAATTTCATCAAATTTTAACCAAAACATTTGTTTCAAGGTGAAAAAGATACGAAAAAAGAAAATGAGAATTCGGTGGCCAACACAAGTACAAGTGATCATGAACATGCAGCTTCTGGTTTGCAAGTCGTTGAGTCCAGAGAGATTCCTGCAATTTATTTTCACGGTACACTTTCAAATGTTCATTTCTATTTTGGAAAGAAATCTCAAACATAATTTTAAATTTGATGTACCTATTCTTAAATCAAATGTTCAGAATATCTATTAAAATTTTATTTAATCCTGCAATGGATTATGGATGGTAATAACCCACGGTGCTAATGGCAACGTGGGTTATATCAAACAGTCTAGTTATTGCTCAGTTTACTAAACAAAAACTAACAAGTAAAACACCATATTACTATTGAATATTGGATAAAAAAAATATAGTATACAGGGTGCGCCAGAACTCGCGCCCCAGAGAAAAATGTGAAATGTCGGGGGCAATAGGTCGCCAATGCAAAATTAACAGAAAAATGTACTTTTTACTAAGTAAATAAAGAAACTTGCGTACTTCTTCATGTTTTTCTGGTTTCACTCTCACTTGCTTCTTTGTTTCATAAAGATAACGCACTAGTTTTCGAGATCTAAAATTCATTTATCGATTTGTTAATCTGTATCAGATCGAAGAAAAAGTTGAGAAGGAACAATACCTGTGAAGAAGTCGGTTCATCAGGAATTTCCAGAATGTTTCAAAATAATTTTTGATAATTGTTGATAATAATTAACGATTCTGTCTCATTATACTCGTGTACAACCTCTTATGCGAGAAAAATACTGCAAACTAGCAGGTAATGTCACCCACAAATTAATAAATGTCAAACTAAAAATTCCAGTAGACCAGCTATTTAATGAAAATTCTGGGCAAATTGGTATTATTTTCGTAACCTAGCAACGGATATAATTTTTCAATCACACCTTGAGGTGCCCTTCTGGGATTGGTGGATCTAATAACTCTCTTATGCAAGCAAAAATTACTTCTTCGGCTGCACTTTTTCGCGACCTATTGCCGCCGGCATTTGACATTTTTCTCTGGGGCGCGAGTTCTGGCGCACCCTGTATAACATTACTAGCAAGGTAAGAGGGTTTTTACTGGCGAATGGAGGATATAACTAACGAGCCGACCTCATTGAGCCAGTAAAACCCGTTACCTTGCGTGTATTGTTTTATATTTTATTTGTTTCTCATTTGTAAAAAGGTTAGACAAATTTAAATTTCGATTACAAAAAAATTCTCAATAATTTGTCGTAAATGTCGTAAGCTATTGAAGCGTTACCATGAACATGTATTGTTACAGACAGATTTAATACGTATAATGAATTTTGCATAAATAATAGTTAAATAATAGACAGACTTTTCTACAAAATTAAATTAAAAGAAAACACTTTGGTTTTCAAATAAACATTTTGGTCCTTCGAGCCGGATCTACTAGATAGATAGATAGATTATTCGTAGAAAATGTCTGAAGAAGAACAAAGACTTGAAAAAATAAAACAGAAAAAAACCACATATCTCAACGACTACGTTATTACGGGAAATAAGAAAACTGAACAAAAAAAAATCAAAATCTACATCAATCGTGTCGAGAAGAACGGTCAGTGTAGAAGAAGAAATACAAGTAAACCGTGAAATTGCGAATCTAGAAGATCAACACGCTCAAAAAGAACTTCAAAGAAAATTAGAAAAATTAGAACTAGAAACGGAATTTGAGAAAATAAAATTGGAAATGAAGAAAAGACTCGTTAGGCAGGAAGCAGAGTTTCGAAAATCCACTACAGACCTGTTATCAAATAGAGACGACGTAACATCGATTCAGTCATGGATCAATAGTCTTCCAGAAAATGAGGAAAAGTATGAATTCAATGCATATCAAATAAATGAAAATAATGTGACAGCAAGTAAAAACAGTTTGACAGCAGATGATTGAAAACTGAAAAATTTGCAAATATTATTGGAAAAAGTATTAGTGATGGCTTAATGATGTTAAAACAAACACCCATTCTATTCTATCTTGATAAACGAATTGGTACAAAAACTGCCTTCTTCATTACATCTCCAATGGGCTACAACGGTGAGCGATCAAGAAAAAACAACATTATCTGGATTAGCAAAATGGTTAAGTAATTTGGCTCATTCATTGGGATAGATAACTAGACCAAGTGAATTTTCTAGAATAAATGAACTAAAGAAAACTCAGTTAGTAAGAATTAACAGATGCTACTTTTCATTACTGGGAGAAATAGAAGCTGTAAATTTACATATATTTTGTGATGCCAGTGAGAAGGCTTTCGCAGCTGTAGCATACTTTGTTGCTGAAAACAAAACTGCTTTCGTCATGGGAAGATCAACGGTAGCTCCACTAAAACAGCAAACAATTCCACATTTGGAACTTCAAGCAGTCGTCATGGGTTGTAGATTGGCAAAATTTAATCAATAAGGAACATTCCTACAAAATTTCAAGAACATACTTTTGGAGCTATTCTAAAACAGTATTGGTTTGGATTCGTGCTGAACGAAAAAGGTTTCAATCGTTTGTGGCTCATCGTGTAGGCGAAATTATTGAAAACTTAAAAATTATTGAAACAGATTGGCGTTGGGTTCCGTCTGCACAGAATGTAGCCGATGAAGCAACAAAATGGACACAGACACCCGATTTACATTTTGATTGTCGATGGTTTCAAGGTCCAGAATTTTTGAAACACACTGAAGATAATTGGCCAATTGAAAATGAGAAAGAACAACCAACAATTGAAGTTTTAGAAACTACTTCTACAATACAATTAATTGAGGGTTCAAACAACATTTTACCAGACGTTGGAAGATTCTAAAAACATGAGAGATTTATAAGAGCAACAGCTTGGGTTCTAAGAATAATTAGAAAATTTTTATTGAAGATACAACACAAATCGACGCACTACTTTCTGCAGGGTGAAGTAAATATTGAAAATTATTTAATCGCAGAGCAAATTATGGTAGCAAAGTTGTTTATTTGGAGAAAGGTACAGTTAAAAAGTTTTGGGTCGAAAATGACAGCTTTATCAAATCTGGCAGAAATTTCAAAAAATAGTAGCTTACTTCAACTAACGCCGTCCTTGGACAATTATGGTCTTATGAGAATGTCTGGTAGAGGAATTGATCAAACTAAAAAAGTAATTTTACCTAAAGACAACGGATATACAAGATTATTGGTAGAGCAATATCACAGAGAAGCGAATCGTCTTAGAGAAGATTTTTGGATCCCAAAAATTCGTGTGCTATTACGAGGAGTAGTTAATAGATGTCAATTCTGCAAAAATAAGAAAATTATAGCTAAACCTCCTTTAATGGGAGATTTACCAAAGGAACGAACTGAACCGCAAGTGGCTGCATTTACACATACAGGTGTTGATTACTTTGGTCCGATGGACGTCACAATTGGAAGAATTGGAAAAGCGGTACGGCGTGTTGTTTACCTGTTTAAATATAAGAGCGGTACATATTGAATTGGTGCATATACTAACCACGGATTCAGCAATTATGGCAATTCGAAGATTTATGGCGCAAAGAGGGGTGCCTAGGGTTATGTGATCGGACAATGGAACAAACTTTACTGGAGCACAACGTGAAATGAAAGAAGCAATATCGGTGTTGGATGCAAAGAAGATGAACGAACGATTTGCCCACAAAGGAATGACCTGGAAATTTATTCCACCAGCATCTCCTCATATGGGGGGAGTTTGGGAAAGAATGGTGCATTTAATTAAAACTGCATTAGCCGCGACTTTAACCTTGCAGTGGTCGGGTGAGGTCTATTAAATTTTATGAATTGTTTTTTTGATATGATTTGAGCCCTATCGCAGATGTGGGTGGGCGCTGCTCAGTACCTTTCACAGAGGGCGTGACCTTCAGCGGGATGCATATGCCAGTAGTGCTCAGTGGTTTATGGCGTGAGCAACTAATTTTAGAGTCTGCTAGTCCGCACCCGATCTCATATGTAATATTTTTTGAACCCAAGGTAATTTGTTACTATTTTCAATTGTCATAGAAATTTTGATTTATTTCTTATATTTAGCCAGTTAAATCATGGACGAATATTCCAAAGAACTAGAACGTTTGCAAAAGCTTTATGATGAAGTACAGACAGATGAAGAGGCAACTGAAGAGTTCGACATTGCGGGAGATTCTGSTTCTGAAATAGATTTATGTGAAAACATTTCAATTGAAACTGAMACAGAACAAAGTGGAGACGATGAAGAAAAGAACAATGGATCGGGGAAAATAATAGAAGATATACAAGATCAAAGGCATGAACTAAGAGGGCAGCAAGAACATTTATACTACAAAGCAAAAGATAATGTCAAGTGGAAAMAACATTCACCTTCGACAAACGTTAGAACACGTCAACATAACATTATTACTCACCTTCCAGGTCCGAAAGGAAATGGAAAGGAAAAATTTACGCCGCTAGACTGCTGGTCATGCTTTATCAGTTCTAATATGTTGAACATGATGGTAACAAATACGAATATTTTCATCGAAAATATTTCATCAAATTACCAAGATAAAACTGAATGCAAAAATACCGATGCAATAGAAATAAGAGCTCTTATTGGATTAKTGTATTTGGCAGGCGTTTTCAAAGGTGGAAGAAGAAATATGAAAGATTTTTGGGCAACTGATGGAACAGGTGTTGAGATATTTCCAGCGGCTATGGCTTATAGAAGATTTAAATTTTTACTGAGATGTTTGCGCTTTGATTCAATACACGACAGAGCAGAACGAGTAAAGTACGATCGACTCGCTGYAATTAGAGAATTTTTTGCAGAGTTTTCAGTATATTTGCAAGCTTGTTATACACCTGGAGAATATCTTACTATAGATGAAATGTTATTTGCATTTAGAGGTCGTGGCCGTTTTCGTATATATATATATACCGACAAAGCCAAACAGATACGGTATAAAAGTATATGCTCTTGTGGACGCCAGAACATATTATGTGGTAAATCTGGAAGTATACGTAGGTGAACAACCAGATGGCCCGTTCAAATTTTCCCAAAAAGCTTCAGACTTAGTTGAACGCATGTGCTCTCCAGTTCACAATACGGGTCGTAACGTCACTATGGATAATTATTTTACTAGTTTAGAAGTAGTAAAGAAAATGTTGAATAATTATAAAATAACTATAGTTGGTACCATCAGGAAAAACAAACGTGAAATTCCGGATTTATTCAAAAACTCAAAAATACGGCCTATCAATTCATCAATTTTCGGGTTTCAAGAAGATGTTACCTTAGTCTCGTATGTACCCAAAAATAACAAAGTAGTCTTGCTTTTGTCATCAATGCACCATGATGACAAAATTGATGTTGAAACTGGAGAGAAAAATAAACCAGAAATGATAACATTTTACAACAAGACAAAAGGTGGAGTTGACACAGCGGATCAGAAAATGTCGCTCTATAATGTTAGCCGAGGAACACGCAGATGGCCAATGGTTATCTTTTACAACTTACTAAATATTGCTGCCATAAACGGCCACGTTCTGAATACTAGTAACAACTGGAAAACTATCGATGGTTTGGAATGCAAGGAACGGCGCATATTCTTGAAAAAACTTGGTCTGGACCTTATTCGCGAACATATGTCATTCCGAGCACTTAGTAAACACATATCAAAAGATGTACGATTAACAGCACAAAGACTTTCAGGAACAAGACCTGCGGAAGACCCGAAAATTGCAAGTGGAGGGAGAGGAACTTGCGCCAACTGTCCAAAACGCAAAACGCGTTTTTTCTGTACAAAATGTCACAAATGGCTCTGTCTGCAGTGTGTACAACCCATTTGTACAGAATGTGCCGAAAATATATGTAATGCATAATGCCTTTTCAGTATATTTAGACTTTAGAGATTTTCGGTAGTTAATAATGTTTCTTGTTTTTTTGAGTTAATTTAATTTGTATTTTTTGTGCAATTTACATGTAAGAATATTAAGTTTGGTTTAATAAAAGCATTTCAATCCACTTCGTCTACGAGTTCCATTTCTATATGCCCAAAAAAAAAAAAGGAACTTGGTGTCTCACAGACCGTACCCGACCATTACTGTTACATCCTCTCACCCGTTCACTGCAGGGTTAAAGGAAAAGGCTCCAAGAGCAGAAGTTCGTTCGGTCAGGATTCAGACTGGAAATGGTTCGTACTGTAATATTCGGGACCCCTTCACCCTGCAAAGCGATGAGTAATTTTTATGTTTCTTTTAAAATGAAATTACGTGTCCACAAACTACGGAAAAAGTCAACATTCTTAAAAAATATGGAGAGTCGCAAACATCCGGTCATTTCTTTAGAAATTTAAAAACCTAAATTCGATACGATTTCAATAGAGTGTCGGATTTTCCAGACAAAATGACTCCAAGGCCACACGTGTGTTTCTTCGAAATTCACAAATTTTCCATTGTAAATTTTATTCAAATTGTATCAATTTTTGTTAATATCAGAAAGGCATAAGTTGGAATTTTAGGCTTAATTAATTTAAGGTAGTTTTGAAAGACCTGGTTCAAATTTCTAATAAATGTAAATCGTTGCAAATTATTGTCGTTAGCGGATCAGCAACGTCTGGGTCAAAAGTCCGTTTAGGTAATTTTAATTAGCTAAATAATAAGTTCATTTTGTTGTAAACTGAACTTGATTCTTTTGGTTGTTTAAATTATTAACAAAGTCGTGATTTATCAAAGCTTTAGAGTAGGGGAAGAGTAGTACCGGAGGGGGATTGCGAAACAGAGAAAAAAAAGGGACTAGTGAATTTTCTAGAACTTCGATTCGAGAGAGCCGAGAGAACAGAGGTCGAAAACTTGGTTTTTGAAGTTGAATTTGTTTAGTTAGTTCGTTTACCTTTAGTTTCGTTTAGTTAGCTTAGTGTAATTATAAAATAGGAAGTAGGGGGAAAATTAGTGTTTAATTGTTCGAGGAATTATGTTGCAAGGACAAAGATTACAGTAAGTTAAAGCTTTCTTTTCGTTTAGAAATCAGTTATAAACTTCGCCGTAAAGGCTTCGTTCTGTCAGTAAAAGTAGTACGCACTTTATTTCTTAGTTCTGGTGAAATTAGTAGACCCTTTGGTTAGTAATTAAAGTAATATTTTGTTTCCTACTCCGGTGGATAAAGTTATTTACTCCACCCGGAATTACGTTCATAAAAGTTCGGAAAGTAACACTCCTAATTAAATTGTTTCGGCCTTTTCTCCAAAATTTAAAAGGTTTCGACAACCAAAGTTCCCCAAAACCCATTAATTCGACTGCTTAGGAAATTTTGGATAATTTATTTATTCATTTTTCTTTTGATTTTATTTTATTTGACGAAGTAAACAATCAGAACCAAGTTCTATTTATTTCATAATTTATGTTCAATAAATTTAAGTGTGGTTTAAAACTTGTGTTTTCTTTCTTACAATGCGGCCTCGTAATACCTTGGGTTTATTAGAATTTCCTTCTAATTATGTTTCTTTTGTTATTTCCGAGACACAACACAACGTAGGAAGAAAAAGGGAAGCAGTTACCAGGCCCCCTTTTTCAAGAAATATTACAGTACCATCGCCCTGCAACCAAGATTGGTGTATTTGACTTGAAAGGAGTGTAAACACTGGGGAGAGAAATGTTGCAGACAGATTTAATACGTATAATGAATTTTGCATAAATAATAGTTAGCGATGTTGTAACTAAGGAAAATTAGTATTCAATAAAATACAGGGTGCGCCAGAACTCGCGCCCCAGAGAAAATTTTCAAGTAAGGTAAGATACCAGGAACATGAAAAAATGTTTAAAAAATTGTATTGTATTGTAAGTTTAGGGAGATAAAACAGGCTTGAAAAGACAAAGTTTTATCATTGGCCTCCGTGACCAGTACTATCAAAATGGACAACGTGGTGGAGCTGGTTGAACCCCTTCTTATATTCCAACGAGTAGCTATTTCCAAGAAGAACGATGAGGATCTGCAAGACCTTCTTTGTTACGAACATCGAGTCAGGTGGGGTACAGGATCAAGCTTCTCAGTGATATTACATAAAAAAGCACTAGCACAACAGCACAAAACGTGCAAAACAAAAACTCGCAGCACCACCACCACACCATCAGTCAATATTGATTTCACCGAAGAGATGGTAGTGACGACCCAGCAACAACACTTTTTAAGTAATGAAAAAAATAAAGACAGATTTATCAGTATGCTGTCTCAGAAAATGGTTGCAGAAGGGATAGAAGTTAGACAGGCTAATGCTGATGCGGATACAACTATTATACGGTGCTCCTTGGAGAAAGCAGAATGTGGTTGTTCAACGGCTGTCATCGGCGAGGATGTGGATCTGCTGGTCCTGCTCATTGCTTTAGCTCCAACAGAACGAGAGATAAACTTTTTCAAACCTGGAATGGAGAATGAAGAAAGCAAATGTTATTCCTCCAAGAGCTTGCAGAAACTTGACTTTGCCAGAAGCATTTTGTTCATTCGCAGTTTTAGTGGCTGTCATACAACTTCTGCAATTTTCCGAAAAGGCAAGTCAACGATTGCTAAATTATTCATGAGGAACCGCACCCTACATTTAATCTTCAACATATTTTATACAAAGACTTCAACACCTGAGAAAGTTGCAAACGCCGGGGAACATATGTTTCTAGCAATGTACAACGCCAGAGTAACAGACCTGGACAAACAGCGCTACGCAGCATTTCTAAAATCCACCAAGGGTTAAGCCAGATCTCCCTTCTCTACCACCAGCTAAAGGTTCCGCATTGCAACACTCATACAGAGTCTATTTACAATTTCAATTACAAGTTCAAGAATGGAGGAGATGGAGATCTTCAACCCTTGACAACCTTAGATCAACCGGCCCCAGATGCCATCCTTTCAACAATATTCTGCAGCTGTACCAAAAGCTGTGGTGCACGTTGTGGATGCCGCAAAGCAGGTATTCATTGCTCTTCAATATGCGGTAACTGTGGGGGCGGATGCACTAACGGCCCTCCAGTTGAAAACAACAATTCAGCATATGAGGATGACCCGGAAGACTTAATCGAATGAACTGTTGGACTCAATACATTCAATTTACTGTAAGTTTTATTCAAATCATCTATCTATTATAGTCGTCACCAACAATATTTGAGACTCATTATAGAATAAGCCGCTTACCCCCCACGGTGGTTCATGGGGCTTGCGGTAGAAATGCCATAAACAAATTTGTATTTCTTAGGACAGGCACGTTTCAAAGGTTTGTAGGAAAAGATGGTCCGTAACAGAAATTTGTTTTTTGGCTTTCATCAAAAAAAAAAATTAAATTAATTTTAATATTCAGTTATATTTTGAGATTGTTTCTTTACAAATCTGCATTATCACTTTAATATTAAATTAATATATTAATTCCCAAATGTTTGCCTGTAATAAATTAAAAGCCCACCACAAAAATTCCTGAATACGGCTCTTTTCTACATCTTCTGGGTAGTACCACACGCAGTGAAAAATTATTACGGTCGACCACAAAGCTGCTTAACCCTCAATAAAGCTTTGCATACGTCAATCCCAAATATTCCTGGTGACGACTATAATATTATATTGAATAATGAAGACGAAAATGCAGCATATGAGGACGACTCCAAAGACTTTATGGACTTCCATGCCTCCCCCCTACCTCTTCTAATAAAGTGTTGGACCTAATAAATTCAATTTACAGTCAGTTTTTCGAATCAGAAGACTAATTTTGTTTTAAGTGCGAATAAAGCACATTTTTTTAATAATGTTTCTTGTCAGCCTTATAACTCGCTTACGGTTAGTCCTACAACAAAAATGCAAAGGACCCTTTTTGTAGGAAATTTTATAAACTTTAATTTTGATAAGAAAGTAAAAACTGATAGTTGCTGATTGTTTTCGAGATACCAGCAAAAAAACAATGAAAGACACCTTTAGCCCCCTCTCCCTCCTCAAGCTCGCCCCCCATCTTTGGGCACTTTTGATATATGTCTACCCAAGTGTAAAGAAAGCGTTTAAAAAAAACAACTCTAGGATTTTTTCCACCGATTTGTCTGAGCTAAGTATCAAGAAACCATTCACATCAAAACATTCGAAAACGATCACATTTGTTACCATCATTTCAATATCTGTTATAATTTTTTGTGTCCTTTGCAAATGCGGAATCAAAAAGAAATTTCTGTGCGTCAGATAAACAGTTATCTAGCGCCCATCTTCAAATCGTTCAAACGATGTAAACTATTCAATACAATGAGTAATTTGATCAGTTGCGCCAGAATCAACAATGTCTTTAGTAAACTCATCACTTCACCTATAAAGGCTTGCTCACTGGCTCCACTGTATTGTACATACTCGTGATTTAACACTTAACTGTTGCATTCGTAAAACGAACTTTTCAAATTTTGAAATGTGAGTGATAATATCATCTGTTGAATTCATCTTGAAGTTAAAAAAATTTGACTGTACCGTGTGTGCTGCTTGTTTAGTCTGCTATTCATAAATACCGTGCAGTTTACCCGCATAGTGAACAAGTGAAGTCAGTACTCTAGCTTCCACAGTCTTCACTATCACTTGACTTGCTGCCCTATCTGCCTTATCCCATCCTTAAAACTTGCTGGAAATATTTTATTTTCTTCCTTGGTAGCACCTTCTCGGCTTTGGCTTCAGGATTTCCCCAACATGCATCGTCAAGTACTCGCAACAAAATTTTCACCGCAAATTTCCCAATACTCCAGTTTTCAGAACCATGTAATTTCTCTATTCCTTGATATTCTATTTCTACTTCAAATACAGAAACACCATCATTCACGAGAAATAATCTGCCCAAAAACATTCTGCACTTGCTCCGGAATCGAACTAGTAACTACGCTCTGGTATTATTTTGGAATAAGTTTCAACAAGAAATTACCATTTTTAGGAAAATTACATTTTTCATGTTGTTTGAAACTAGAATTTTCAGAAGTAATTTTGTATGCCTAAGGTTAGTAACCCCTTATTGTTGACGGTTGACGTTTTCTGTCAAACTGCTGTCAACTATCAATTAAATTATCCATACAAGCTGAAAGGTGACTTAACCTAAATTTTGACACTAGTTACGATATCTTTTGTTTGTCACCAGAAACCAACCTAACCAAATTTATAGCAACCTATTCACTAATATCCCTAAATCCTAGGAAGTAATTTCTTGTTGATACGACAATAGGTACGATCCAACTTAGCTGATGAAAAGCTTATTAAGTTTTATTTGGAAGGTTGAAGATTGTGATAACAGTTTTATAAAATATTGAAACAATCAATAATCAAAATCTATCTATCTATCAACAACATTTTGTTAAGCAAAAGGTACTTTGATTTTTCTGTCTACTGCAACAAAATTACAATAGGCAATCACTTGTTTTAGAAACACATTAGGATAAGAATTGTAGAATTAATATTTTTACAATAAATTCAGTATTGATCGAACGCTGACTGATTAGTAGGTACTCCTCTAACACTACGAATTTTTACGTTTTATTTCACATTTCGAAATGTTAAAATATTAAGGGTTAAAATTGAACCGTTGAATTGTCATAAAAAACCAAATAAGAATATAATTATGCACATACCTGAGGAAAATGACGAATATCCCTTCATAAACCTTCATCATAATGATGTCAATGTCTTTTCAACTAACCAAAAACAAATCCCTTACACTACATTCACCCCCACTATCACAATACCTATATATTTATTAATTAATACACGAACTAAAAACGATTATTAACACTTCAAAAACGGCATTAAACAAAAATTATCTGAAATCTTACACACAAGAAGTTTTGAATCCGAATTTATAACAGAGTCTGACAGAACCACAAAACTAGACAGCGGCGGATGATTTCAAGCGAACATTATTATACCAACGTAACAGTACGCAATAAACAATCCCCATGTTTTAGTGAGTTTAATTTAATGTTTTTAGCAGTGGTGGCTCGTGACTTTTAGACAGGGGGGTCGCAATTAAAATGATGGTATATAACGAGTCTTTATTAAAATTTGGCGTCATAGTTGGAAGTGACTATGAGTGTGTTGTAAACAAACCCTAATTTTTAATACGTCCAGTGAGATGTCAATATCAGATTAATAACTTTCAAGAAGATGGTGCGGTCATAATCAAACTTTTGCAGATAACTTTGACGTCAATTTAAAAAAAACCGTCACAAATAATGTAACAATAAAAAAAAATTACTTGAAATAAAATATGTATTAATAACACAAAAAAGTTATTTCTTAAAATTAAATTCTGCTCTTCGGTCCTTCATAGATATAAATTTCTCCAACACCTTTTCTTCAAAAATTGTCAATGTCTTGCATACTGCAATATTGCAGTAAAATCGATTAATTCCCTAAAAAATCCGCGRTTTCCCGATTCCCCACTTTCGTCGTGACCTCTGAGTGCCAACTCAAAAGCACTGCAAAATTTTACGCAACTAACTATGCGTTTTAAAATATAGCCGTTTTTCCGAACCTTTTCATTGTGCTCAGTAATATGTTGGCGATAAGCAGAGTTAAGCTGAGTCATTATATTCGATTTTTCAAGTAAAGCAAGTGCTGTGCATGCATTTATATGACCACGAGATTATTCGAGCTTTCTTACTTTAGCAGGAAGCTGATGCAAATCCTTTATACCTCTCCGTGCCCAATTCGGATCTGCTCCTGTTGCAAAACAATATGCACGGAAAACAGTACAACAAATTCAAAACTTCACACCAATTATTTCGGTCATAAATGTCTCTTGAGAAATGCCGTGTAAATGTCCTGTTTTGAGATTTTCTTTCAATAATCTGTGTTAAATTTAAATCAGGCAATGGCCTGCCTAAATCCTTAATTTTTATTTTGTCTTCTGGAGGTAGTCTGTTAAAATCTGTTTTTATTAAAACACTTACACTATTTGCACTTCCACTCATTGTCAATTCACAATAAACATAAATTAAAACTGTAATGAAAACTGCAAGTGCTTTGTCAAATCGGTCAAAAATCACGAAATCCAACTAATAAGACGCTATTCTTTTTGTGCAAGCATAAATGTCATTTTAATCTCAAAAAAACCCAAATTAATAAAATCACTGATTACTCGTCGCTTCTTTTAAAATACGCGGAGCTAATTGGTTTTTATCTCCCCTTAAATCCAAAGCACCCCCTCGCCCATACTCTCGTGTTTCCAATGCGCCGATCTCACTTTCATACCCGTCGCCTAAGCGTGGCCGCAGAATCTTTGGCCAAGTGGTGACCACGCGAGGAACATTTGAATTTTTTGATTGGCTAGCAGAAGCGTAGAGCTGAGCTATAGATGCGTTGTCATGACAACCAGGGCCGCGGAATTGTTTGCGCCGTACCATCGAAATAATTTAATTTCTGGGTTTAGGTATAAAAAATAAATGGGCGTTTTTACTCAAATTACAAAATTTCTAATTAAACTTTTATAATAAAATAAATCACTCTAAACTAAATAAAACGTTCTTTATGGTTTCTTGTCCAGGGGGGGCACGCGGCAAAGCGGCCTTAAGAGAAACCGCCACTGGTTTTTAGGATATTTAAAAAAGTAAAATTTAACACAGAAAAATTTATAACACTTGATTTACAAGGTGATTTTTGTAGGGCCTACATTAGAAACTTTTTACCTTCCAATACTCCCACTTTGATTTTTTAAAAGAACAGTACTCACTTTTACTCATTTTACTTTTAACTATTTATTTTTATAGAATTTAATTATTAATTTTTACGCTGTTTATGGTCTGTAACATAAATTTTAAAACAGATTTTACTCAAAATCGGTAAGTTGTATCAGAAAAATGCAAAAACCTTTTTTGTGAAAATCTATGAAATGTAGAATTTTATTACTGAAAGTGGAAAGAAACTACAGCCAAAATAGTTACAGTACTTTTTACCCTAAACCCACCCAGTTTAGAAAACCCCTGATTAAAAGTTTCAACATTTTATCTTTGAATTCGTTTAAGTGTCTCGGTTATCATTTGTACCAAATTTTGTAATTTTATCTAAAATGATTTCGGAAATATTAGAAAAAAACAATCAAAAAACGCACCCTTTGAGGGGTGTAGTTCCTATGCGTAGCATTTTTTGAAACATGTTTATAGGAAACTTTGATTCTAAATTTAAATGTTCTATCTCTTGTGTAAACTTGTAACAATAAAAACGGAATAATAATTTAAATATGGCGCCGGTGTGCACGATCTTGCGCCATCTAGTAAGTAGCAAAACATACAGTCGGTATAAAAGATTCCTTTCCAATACTTTTCAGAAAGCATTTAGAAAAGGTAGCGTACTTGGTTCGTTTTGTTGTTAAATATCCATTCAATAAACGATGAAATTATTTTATTATTAAGAGAATTGAGCTACAGTGTATTTGAATCCGTAACGATGGCTAATGGACCGATTGCTGAACGAAATAGAGGTAAGTTTTCAACTACCTAACCTCACAAATTCTAATTAATACCGGTGTTTTTCACAGATGCAACAATCTATGTTGGTGGTTTAGATGATAAAGTTACAGAATCGTTATTATGGGAACTCTTCGTACAGTCTGGACCTTTGGGCAAGCATAATTTTTGTCATTTGTTCCAAACATAATTTCTTCTGTTTTAGTCAACGTTCACATGCCCAAAGATCGAGTCACAATGATGCACCAAGGCTATGGTTTCGTGGAATTCATGGGTGAAGAAGATGCCGATTATGCTATAAAAATAATGAATATGATAAAACTTTATGGAAAGCCAATAAGAGTGAATAAAGCATCAGCTCATCAAAAAAATTTGGACGTGGGGGCGAACATTTTCATCGGGAATTTAGACCCAGAAGTGGATGAAAAGCTACTTTACGACACATTTTCAGCTTTTGGAGTTATACTTCAAACACCTAAGGTAATCCAGTAAACCATATTTTTAAATGAAATAATGCAATTTTCTTTCAGATAATGAGAGACCCTGACACTGGTAATTCCAAAGGCTTTGCTTTCATTAATTTTGCCAGTTTTGAGGCTTCTGACGCATCAATTGAAGCGATGAATGGTCAATATCTCTGTAACCGCCCCATTTCCGTCTCCTACGCCTTTAAAAAGGACTCCAAAGGTGAACGTCACGGTTCTGCAGCTGAGCGTCTTCTAGCGGCCCAAAATCCCTTATCACAAGCCGACCGCCCCCATCAGCTCTTCGCCGATGCCCCGCCAATGGGCATGATGCCCCCAGGAATGGCTCTAGCCCCACCTCCCCCTCCTGTTATACTAGCTGGCATGATGCCTCCCCCACCACCTACACCGGCAAGTATGCAACCACCACCTCCTCCACCAGTCCCACCACCCAGTTCTTTTCCCTCGGGAATCCCTCCCCCGCCTTTGCCCCCGTCCCAACCGCCCTTACCGCCAGGTGCACCTCCACCACCACCAACTTCATCAGGTGGATCAGCACGACCCCCTTTACCACCGATGCCTACATCAACGCAAGCTTCAGGCGCCCCAAGGATGATTCCTCCGCCATGGCAAGGTGGGGCTAATAATTTACCTCCACCACCACCTGGACCACCGACCTCAGTGCCAACTTCAGGTGCGCCGCCATTTCCTGGATGTTTTCCGCCGCCACCACCCCCAGGAGGACGACCGCCGAATTGGAGACCACCGGTTAATTTTGGAGGACCAGGGAGACCTCCTTTCCCACCAAGGGGTCCTCCACCACCGCCCCCAAATAATTTTAGTGAAAATAGTTGGTAATGAAATCATTGATAAAATAAAACAAAAATTAAGTTGAGAGGTAACCATTTATTGACTTTTTTTGTGCCTTGATATTTTCTGAAATTTCCTATTGCTATCCTTCCTACTACCACTGTTTCCAGTAAATGGTATTATAGACCCAGGGGCTTGATACCCTGATTCCTCAAAACTCAATGTTTCTAACGATAGCAAGATATGTATCATTGGTAGCTTTCTTTTAACAACTATTTGGTCCAAATCTGGGATTACTGGGTCCCAAAATTCTTCAACTCTAAAAACATTTACGCAATTTACAATGTTGTAAACAAATTTGACAACGAAATTTACATCCTATAACACAGTTTTGTTATTTGATGTAGCTGGATATTATGTTCTCGTTTCATAATTTCTGCACAAGTGACAGTTTTACCAACAGACTGACCAAATCCTGTCCACACAACGGCTTTAGCACTTGGAAATTCATTTAATGCATGACTTACAAGATTTCTTATTTTACTACCTCCTCTTACCTAAAAATAATAAATTTACAACTTTAGTATTTACCAAGTAATTATGAACAACACCTGCATCCATAAAAAGTTTTCAGGAAGATTGGGAATAGGGATTTTGTCCCTTTCAAGGGGTTCCTCCACGTTTTTACCTTTGTGGTAATTCTCCATTTATCTAAATAAAAAATTTGATTTACTTACAAACAGTAATTGATGATAAATAAATCAAAACGACTGATAAGTAATGCTTCAAAAAGTCAGGTTAAATTAATTATTATCCATTTATTTGAAGGAAAAGTTTGATTTACTTACAAACAATGGTAATTGATGATAGATAAATCAAAACTAGGACTGCTGACTGCTGATAAGTAATGCTTCCAAAAGTGAGGTTAAATGTTAAATTAATTATTTGAAGGTAGGAACAATAATTCTCACTTAAGCTATTTTTTGCAAACACGACGTTAAAAAACTACAGCAGACCAACAAAAACTTGTGCACTTGTTCCAATCTAATAGTAAAAAAACTGATTGGACAACTTTCAAGAGCTTTAAGAGATAACATTTCCCCAGATCTGGTGATTTTTATGTTAAACTAGCTAACATTATATGCTAACATCACATTTCTTAAAAAATGACAAATACGACTATATATTGTAATTTATTGAATTTGGTTTATGTGAATTGTGTGCTATAAGTAAAAAAGTATTAAAGGAAGCATTTCGGGACACATGTTTTGAAATGTTTTGACCTATGGATTCAATCTCAAAATCTTTAAACGTTTTTTTCGGATACCTGTAGAAGACAAATATAAATTTATTTAAGAGAAGATATATTGAACTAGCTGTTGCCCGCGGCTTCGCTCGCGTGGTAGTTTGACATCCACAACTATTTCAAAACGCAGAAGGGCTAAGAAACTTACTAACAAAATATAGCAACACATAATTATTATGAACTTCGTAGTAAAAATAAAAAGTCCGTCTTTTATAACTTATTTAAAAACCGTAAAATTTTAAGTCTTATTTCATGGATATTACTTAACAATGACAAATTTTGATACAAATTTTCATTCCATATTTAACTGTAACACATATTTATACAAACTTTCATCCCTTATTTGACCCCCGTAGGGATAGAATTCTACAAAATTTTGAAACACGTGCTATTTTGTTTATAAATGAACACCCAAATACCAATTTTCATAGATTCAACTTAAAAAAAACACGGATATTTTACGAAGTTTTACCCTTGTTCAACCCCCCTGAGGGTAAAATTTCCAAAAATCCTGAAACACGTATTACTTGATTTTTAATCGAAAGCCTAAATACAAATTTTCAGGGATTTAACTTTATAAATGACATATTTTAATACAAATTGTCATCCTTGTTTAACCACCTAGAGGGTGGAATTTTCAAAAATCCTAAAACACGTGTTTCTTCATTTTTAATCGAAAGCCCAAATCCCAATTTTCATAAATATAACTTCAAAAACGACGAATTTATAAATATTTATACAAATTTTCATCCCTTGTTTGACCCCTTTGGGGATGAAATTTTCCAAAATCCTAAAACACGTGTTTTTTCTTTTTAACTGAGAGCCTAAATACCAATTTTCATGAATTTAACTTTTAAAAAAATACAAATATTTTACGACTTTTTACCCTTGTTCAATTGAAATTTCCAAAAATGGTAAAATACATATTTTTTTTATTTTTAACCGAAAGCCTGCATACCAATTTTCATGGCTATAGCTTTAAAACTTCGAATTCACCACCCCATTTAACTCCCTTAGGGGTTGATTTTCCAAAAATCCTTTCTCCGTTATAAAAGGTATCTACTGAGAAAATTTGAAATTTCTGTCTCCAGCGATTTAGGCTGTGGGTTGATAGGTCAGTCAGGAGAAGCCTCTTTATACAGTCTGTTATTGAAATGCGTTAAGAAAATTTAAGGGGTGATAGAACTCATCAAAACAAATTACTGTGCTATTTACCATTTTTTCGAAAAATCTTTCTAAACCCAGATAAAATTTTAATTAGTTTGAACGTAAATTCTAGTACCCGCCAATGTCTCCCTGCTTACATTAAAAGCGAAAGAAGATAAAAATTTGATAGCCAAGCAAAAACCAATTTTTTATTCGTAGTAAGTGAGAGTGACATTCCAAGTTACGCACCACACTTGATCAAGGGCACTAACCTTCAAATTAAATGTTCGAAAAGACGCCCTCCGTTATTGATGTATGCTTGTGCCCTTCGAGTCATAGAAGTTTTAGTTGCCACCAACATGTCGGATTTTCGTCGAATTGACTCGGCTGCATTATTCACACGAACAGTTAATTCTTCGACGGTGTTAACTGGAATTTCATACACAATCTGTTTTAAATGGTCCCATAGAAAAAAGTCACAAGGATTTAAGTCCGGTGAACGAGCTGGCCATAAAACTGGTCCATTACGACCTATCCACCGATTTTCTAAATATGAACTTAGCGACCGCGAAATCGCTCCAGCAGCATTCGATAAAGCTTCCCCGTAGATTAGCACCATGTCTGTTAACTCCGGATTAGTGTACTGCACCATTTTTGACGATAATTACGGGAAATTCACTTTGCCAATAAATTGTAAACACGGCCGCATGTAGGTGAAGGACGTGACTAAATTGTGTCAGTAAGTTTCTGCAAGACCTATCTGTCTGGGTTTTTGCCGTATTTACTTTTTTGCGTACCGTGCCATCCATAAACGACTCGATGACACGGAATACGGTGAAAATAAATGTAAGTATAAATTTGAGTTTTCGAAAAAATGGTACTTAGCAAAGTAATTTGTTTTGATGAGTTCTATTACCGTTTAAAGTTTCTTAACGCATTTCAATAACAGACTGTATATGTCGTAATCATTGGGCGTAATGTGTCATTCCGCGGAAAGCCTAGGTTTTGGCTGTACTGCCGGCAGACGCTGTAATCAAATGAATATTCCTTTGTTTGACTGAAATTTTACGTCATTTCAGGGATTGCCTACTTAATTCTCGTCAAACAAAGTAACCGGTTGAACCATTACATGTTACAGCGTTTGACGAAAGTGTATTTAGTCATTTGCTGAAAGCTTGAAATTTTATTGTGTAGTATTTCGGGCCGTAACATTTAGTGATTGTTGGACTTTTCTTATTGAAAATGGATAATCATAATAGTTTGTTTTATGACAAATTAAATGAATATGATTTGAAAAACAATGCCAAAAAACCCTGGAATTATGAAGTAATGAAAGAGGTAAAAGACTTCTAACCTCAAAATACACTTTTATTTCAGTTGTACATATTTTAGACTGCAAAAGGTATTTCTAAAGAATATATTTTTATTTTTGTTTAATTTACCCGAAGGCAAAAAATATATTTTAATCAGTTGTTTATGTCATATACTTACCGTTTTTGTATGATTTTATAATATTATATGTTTACATTATTCCAAATAAACGAAACAAATATTTTGCTACAATAAAAATATTTTAGTTTTTTTTTTTTTACTTTTCTTCTACCAAAAATTTACATTTCTACAGAAAGTATCAAACATTTCAAGACTTTTCAGCAAATGACTAAATACACTTGCGTCAAACGCTGTAACATGTAGTGGTTTAACCGGTTACTTTGTTTGACGAGAATTAAGTAGGCAATCCCTGAAATGACGTAAAATTTCAGTCAAACAAAGGAATGTTCATTTGATTACAGCGTCTGCCGGCAGTACGGCCAATGACTAGGCTTTCCGCGGAATGACGCATTACGCCCAATGACTACGACATATACCAGGTGAATAAAAAGTATGGAACCAAACGCTTTTTGCTTAAACTATTTATTTTTTGAAAAAACTAATTGATGAGTGCTAAAGTACTATAAAAATGTGATGATTTAACAAGAATAAAATTTTTCGAAATTTCCTTTTATTTTTGAGTTCTACAAAAAAAAATAATTTTTTTAAATGGCAACCCACTATAAAATCATTTTTCTCATAAAAGCTATACTCTAAGGATTACAACTATCTGCTTTATTTTTAATTTTTTCAAAAAATTTTTTTCACATAAATTGCAATTTTGACAAAAAAAATCGCATAACTCAAAAACAAAACAAAATTTCGTTCTGAAATTACGATCACATTTTTTATATTACTTTAATTTATATTAATTATTATTTTCCGGAGGCAAATGATTAAAAATAAAACCGCTTGGTTCCATACTTTATATTCACCCTGTATATGGATTAAGAACTTTTATAAATCTTTAGGTAAATTCTGGCGGATCATACTCATAATAACTGACAAACTCAAGTTATTTTAACACTATTGGCACAGATTAGAAGCACAATAAGGATTTGTGCTATTGGAAAAATTTAAAAATCTGACAACTATTTCATCTTAAATCTGGTAAAGTTTTCTTTTATGAATTAGTATAACTGTTGAGCTATATTTTTGTCAAGTTGGTGATTGATAAAAATTATCAATCTTAATTGACATCATTCTGATGTAATACCTACCTCAGTAGGATGTGCCAGAACTCGCTTCCCAGAGAAAAATGACATGTAAGGTAGGATACTACTGATTTTGTCAAGTTTTTTTGCTACAGACTATGAAAGGAGGAAACAAGGAAGCTGTATCCTAAATTGTTACTCTGTTAATCTTATTTGTGGCTTTTAAATGCAAAATTTTTGTACCTTTACTAAATAATTATAAAAAAACATATACAAGATCATCAGTATCATTAAATAGATATAAAAGACTGTCAAATGTTAAAAAATAAGTATCAAATTTTTGTGACATATCGAATTTTTTAAACATATTTTCCATGATCCTGGTATCTTATCTTACATGACATTTTTCTCCAGGACGCGAGTTCTGGCGTAGCCTGTATAGCAACCTTAGTTTAGAAAAATAGAGTTGTTTTATTGAAGTACTTTTTTATTTTATCTATTCTAAATAAATATTGCTTTCTTACCTAATTTCAAAACTTAAAATTTATCTTTTGTTTTAACACAAGTTTATAAACTTAAATTTACCAGATTTTTAAAATTTACTCCGCCAAACAATGTTTCAAATTTTTTTGATTAAAAATGGTCGAATTCGGCTAACATGAAAAAAAAGTAATGTAAAAACATTTTTTTTTAATTCGAAATTAAACTAATTCGAAATAAGTTTCTATTAACTTTGCAGTGGCCAAACTTCAAATTAATCTCGAATTTAAATTTGATTGCAAGAGGCACTAGAAAAGTAATCTACCTAGCAATGAAACCAAAGACGTATAACTTTTTTGATAAATAAATAAATAGAGTCAAAGTGCAAACTTTAAACCCTCATAACTTCGAAATTTTTATATATATTTTTTTTAACATTTTTTCCATGTTCCTGGTATCTTACCTGATATGACATTTTTCTCTGGGGCGCGAATTCTGGCGCACCCTGTATATTCAAGCACAAATTTGAAATGCCGAAAGGAGCCGCTAGCGGCGAGTTGATGAACAAGTGAGTGCTTGAAGAACCTTCTGCAACAAGTGCTTTATACTATTTTGCCGCTTTATATCATTTTATAAATTAAAAAACCAAAATTTCAATTTTTTCTTTTAGAGAATTTTGCGACGGTTGGCGACATTTATGTGGAATAATTTTAGGCGGCTGTAAAAAATAAAAATAATTCTTATTTTCACATTTGAAAATAAATTGTGAAGAAAGTTCGTCACTAAAATTAAATTAACGCCAACGACTTATTCCATCACTCAAATGACGTCATTTGGGTGCTGGAATAGACTTATTCTAACACCGAAATAAAAAAACTAATTATCTCAATTAACTCAAATTTTGCAGATAATGTTAGAATACATACATACTATTTGGATAAATTACGCTTGTGCGTTGTAATTGTTTTTTTATGGTTGGGTATATTTCTTTTCTAATGCCCCTCATATACAGAGTGATTCTTAAATAGACTGACGAAATTTTTTCCTTGGTAGTATCAAATGAGAACATGCTGGAAAAAATATTTGAAAAATTCTTTGTTTAACCATTCTCCGAATAAAATTTATTAAAGTTATTTTCGCCGTAAAGCGTATGTAGTATTAGCACAGGTAGTGATGGAAAGCATGGTGAAAATGTACTTGTTCATTGCAATAATTTATAAACGCCGTAAGTGGCACGGAGCAATGGGGTTTTACCCCTAAAAGTTATAAACCTAAACAGGTCACAGTTTGTCTCCATTTATCCTTGGGAAGCTGTGATAAAATTTTGTCGGTTTATTTAAGAATCACCTGTATTCTGTAAATCTCCCTTGTAGGTATAGGTATCTATTTATTAGAATTATTTATTTGCTTTAAATTATAATTTTTGAAACTTTAGAGGTGGATTTAAAAAAAGTAAATTAAATCAAAATTAAGTTAACCGCGATTAACTTCAAAATCCAGAAATCTGGTTGGTTGTTCATCATAATTCAATCATTCGGCTTCTATAAACCCACTCCTGGAAAACCAAAAATTTAAAATTGTTTGCTAAGTCATCATTATCATTGATTAAACTAAGTGTTATACAGCTGTTTTCAAAGTTTGTGCAAATATTTTAACAGAAAGTAGTAGAGCTCAAAAGAAATCAATCCTTATCCGAATGTTTATAGCATCGTGTCCTTAATGACATGTATCAATATCCCGCCTGGTCATTTCGTAAAAAACGCATTGGAGCAGTGATTCCGAGTATTTTCTCAATTACGGAGGTTACTAAGAAAAAACTGAATGATTTTAAATTATTAACGAAAAATAACGCAATTAATAAACGCTGGGAAGGAAGGATACAACAAAACAAGGTACGCCATGGAGAACTGATATTATGAGGTTGAATCCTTCAAGCTAAAAAACTGGATGTGTCAAAAAATTTCCCCAGATAGAAGCGCCAATGGGAATCAATTGAACTCAAAAAATGCCCAGGCGAAAAAATGATTGTTTCTATCGAGACGGAGAAGGTTTATAGTTTTTGAAATACAGAGGGTTTTGTTCGTCAAATAAATTTAAATTTGGAGCGCAGCCTTAAACTTAACTCAAATTGTAAACAACTAGGTACCTCAAATGCTACCGACTACTAATAATCTAAACGTTAGGATAAAGTTCTTAAAAGGTTCAAACTTCGTTTATATAAAAATTTTTTGATAATTTTTCCGACGCCAATGTGGAGGTTGCACTCTCTATCACCATATTTGCACATTCTTTAGAACTACCCGTATTTAGTAGATTGTTAACATTTTCCCGTTGTTGCAGTTTATACAAGGTGCAATTGAAATAGTACAACGTCTTCAGAAACAAAACTTGTTTGCATTACAATTAATTTCTTTTTTTATCAAAATATCGAAAACACCAAAAAAAAATGTTTCTTTTCAATTTGACTGATTAGAAATTAGTCTTTTAGAAAAAATCATGTGCGCATAATGCTCAAAATTATCTCAGCGCGTAAAACTTTGTATCTTGAGTGACCTCAAATTATGACCTAGGATCTCAACATTTTTAAATCATTTATCAAAATGACGTTTATTATAACAATGTGTTAATTCAGTGCGTTATCCTTTACTCGAAACAACAATTCTTATATTGAATAACACAATGAAACAAGCAACCGTTTTTTGTCTCATTTTAGAATTGCTAGTTATAAAGGTATGTAAGAATAAATAAACTTAAAAAAACTGTGACATTTACTTAAATTTTCTATTAGGCGGAAGAATTGCAAACCCACGAGCGGTATCAAATAGCTTCACAATGTATTGAAATTGTCGGAATTGACCAAAAGGTTGTAGAGGATGCAATGACTAAAGACATACCCAAAAACGATATCAAATATAAAGAATTTTTAGCATGTAGTTACAAAAAACAAGGTTACCAGAATGAAAACGGAGAAATTCTAATGGAAAATATCAAGAAGTTTTTGCAAAAGTATTATGATTCTTCAGACCTACAGGAACTGAATGCTTGCTCCGGCTATAATAGTACAAATCACGCAGAAAACGCATATCAAGCTCTTCAGTGCATATACAGTCGACTGAGTAATATGACAGTAGTACATACGTAAATAAATGACACAAATTAAAGGTGAATCAATCTGTGATTTATTTTGGTTAGAACAAAAACGGTGTAATAAAATAAAATATTAAGGTACAATGGATCTTGATACTGATTAAACGTTGTGTATGTATACATTTCACTTAGTAATGTAAAGGCACTGTGAAATGTATACTTACAAAAATAATTATACTAAAAAAAATGACCTCAGATGGCCTGTTCAAGATAAGTAATATCACTGGAGCCACTTTAGCCTTCTAACTGTTTTTACGTACAAATCTATCTGATTTTGTGATTCTATTATTCATTGTAGTATTAATAAGATTTTAACTGCAGCAAGACGCCGGATTGGGATCTTTGCCGGACCTCTTAGTAATGTTAATTCTTGTAAATTCTTCAGCAATTGTTGGATGAATTCCCACCGTACTCATCAAAGCATTCACAGTCAAGTTACACCTAAAGAAGTATTATTACATAAGCTGTTTTATCACTAAAGACTAAACTCACTTCATAGCTGCTGCGAATCCTTGGATTACTTCTCCAGCTTGCGGCCCAATAAAGTGCATACCCAACACCTGTTGTGGACCTTCACGTTTAGCAACAACTTTCAAATAGCAATGAGCAATTGAACGTTGTGGAATAAAGAATTCGGTTGGTTTGTAGTATGCATGATAAATTTCGACGTTGTCTTCACCGAATCGTTGTATCGCCGTTTCCTCACTTATCCCCACACTCCCATATTCCAGAGGACTGAAAACAGTTGTTGCCACGTTTTCGTAATCCATTTGAACAGTGCTGTTGCCGAATAAACGTCTGGCTAAGAGACGTCCTGCGTGGATAGCCACTGGTGTTAGTTCAGGCTTTTTCTGCAAAAATTATTACAATTACAACAAAAAAAAAAAAAAAAAAAAAAAGATTGTCGGGTTCAGTCGACAAAAGCTGATTGTTCAATCTAGTTTTCGTTCGTTATTTCAAACATAATTGAACCCCCTTTCAGATCTTCAGACTGGAACCGAACCGAAGTCGTGCACTCGAAAATTGGCATTATTTCAAATCAAGTAGACCCGATTTACAAGAATTTGACATTAAATACAGGTTGTTCCGTCTAAAACCCACATTATACGTATTGGGAGTTCGAATAATCATATTTATTTGAAAATTGGTACAGTCGTTTTCATATTAATGTGCATCGAAGTAGTCGCTGAAAGGGATCATTTTAAGTTGGCGACCATGCGAAAATTCAAACAATAATAACCTCAATCCTCCGTAAAAATGTGTATTTTAGTTTTAGAGGTAGCAAAAAATAATACAAGCTAACAACTTAATTAACATCGGGTGGCAAATATAAAATTTTTTGTCATTATCGATGTGATTTGATTTGTTCTGAATGACATTAACCCTTAAACTGCTAAATTAATTTTATAATCCTTTGCTGTGTGCGCACATATTTTGGTTCGTGCGTATATACAGGGTATTTCACGAGTGATAATGGGCCTGACCAAATTTGAACTGCAGCCAGCAATACATTTGCATAGGCTTCATGGATTTTGATTATGAGTTTTAAAAGTAATATAACATAGTTATCGCGTAACTGACACAAAGAAATTGACAAGAAAGGAAACACAGTTTTTAAGGTTATTGTCTATCTACCATTGGAAAACACTTTCAAGCCTTTTTGGAGCTTTTCTATCCAGGAAACATTGTCTTTACAAAGGTTCAACGGCAGAAGCATTTTTTCCAAATTCGCCATAAATGAGAATCATATCTGTTTTCTCATCGTTCGAATGCATTTTGAAATTTTGCTAATGTCAGKTGTGACATGGTTGTGACAAATAAAATTATSGAARCAAAGCTATCGTGGATTCATAATTCGGTKTTTCAAACAATGCGATATCTAAAATATCCACGTTAACTTTGCAAATGTATTGTGGGTTGTATTTTCAATTCCGTCAGGCTCATTATCACTCGTGAAATACCCTGTATACGTTTAGAGCGGTTAAATCTTATTGCGTATAAATACGTCTTAAGCAGTTTACTGCTAAATTTACAAATTCTTAGAAAAATTTTCAGCTCTGTATTTGCAAAATTTAGAGTAAAGATAATTTGTTTTATTCAGCGCAATATTTTAACAGTACAGAAACCTTATTGCTCCCATAAGGTTTTTAAATACTCCTAATTGTTTTCACAAAAATTAATAATCAAAATTATCAATTTCCTAAACAGAATAATACTTTGTCACCGTTTTTACCACAAGTTTACCTTAGCTATTGATTAGTACAAAATTTATGTTGTATTGTTGATACAAAAAAACATTTCTCATTTAAAATATGAAGCAAACTTAAAAAATTGTATAAGCAATAAAATAATTTTGCTTGTAAGAAGTCATTACTCATTTTTTCGCCCTAATATCGCAGTACACAACTTTTGAACATTTTGTTATGAAAAAAATGCGAATCCGGCCCATGGGTTTCTAAGAACGCATTGAACAGTTACCGCGTATAAATACGTTTAGAGCAGTTAACAACACCAAAGAAAAAAAATTGAATTAGCAATGCCTTTATGGTCTTTTTATATTAAGAAACAAATATAATTTCAAAATAAGTCATTATTTGTTTTTAAAACATTTTAAAAGTAATTTCGTAGATATACGGTTTGAGCAGCGAACCACTCGGCGTAGATTACGTTTGGAGAAGTTTAAGGGTTAATGACACTATTTGTATGAATCGGCTTTTAAATTAAAGATGCATTTACAATTCTACAACCTACTTGATGCACATTAATATGAAAAAGAGTATACATACCCATAATCCATTAAGTCCTTCTAAAAAACAAAATTTCAAGATGGCGTCACTTCCGGTTATAGCGGAAGTCGGTCTCAACTTTCTTATTTTAAATGGAAAGCTATATTTTTTACTGCGTTTTTGGATTAATCGGGTTATTTTAAGAGAGTTTTCATCAGCTTTCCCTATACTTAAATTTAGCCCTTTTTGAAATATTTGGAGTTTTTCAAAAATTTTTGGATCTGCAACTTCCAGTTTACAAATCGGTAACTCTGCTATTTTTTAAAATTTTGAATTTGTTTTTTTTGGCGTTTGAAAGAGAAAGTTTAGATCTTTCTTCAGGTGGTTTCAAATTTTGAAAAAAAAAATTAACAAACCCTAAAATTTGAAGGTTACTTTTGTAACAATTCAAATACCCATAACTCAATTTTTCCAAATGAAATAACCCAATTTTTATTTTACTATTATTAAATTATGTATTATTAAATTACTATTATACTATTAAATAATGATCGCATGGTAGAACCTATTATAATGTATTGCATAACTTTGATTCTTCATATTTTGCCACTATTTGTCAAATAGCAATTTACTGTTGACGTTTATTGAGAAACAATTTTAACATTTTTGATTTCCATAGCAAACTATGTGAAAACGGGTGTGGCTAGTAATACATTTTCTGTAGTCTTAACAAAAAGTCCATAACTTGAAAATTATTAAATTTAGGTATAGGGAATATTAATACAGATCAATGCACAATTAAATACTCTTCTATTTAGTAAAATAAAAATTGGGGTATTTCATTTGAAAAAATTGAGTTATGAGTATTTAAATTATTAAAGTAACTTTAAAATTTTGGGAAGTTTTTTTTTTCAAAATTCAAACACCAGAAAACGGATCTAAGCTTTCTCTTTCAAACACCAAAAAAAAAAGCGAATTCAAAATCTTAAAAAATGGCAGAGTTACCGATTTTTAAAGTGGCAGGTGCAGATCCAAAATTTTTTGAAAAACTCCAAATATTTCAAAAACGGCTAAATTTACATATAGAGAAAGCTAATGAAAACTCCCTTAAAATGACCCGATTAATTCAAAAACGCAGTAAAAAAATATAGCTTTCCATTTAAAATAAGAAAGTTGAGAACGACTTCCGGAATAACCGGAAATGCCGCCATATTGAAAATATTTTCATTTGGAAGGACTTAATGGATTATGGGTATGTACCAATTTTCAAATAAATACGATTATACGAACTCCCAATACTTCTAATGTGGGGTTTAGACGGAACATACTGTATAAATGTTTGTTGTGTGCGACAGTTCTGACACAATTGTAATAAGAAGCCACAATTCAATTTAAATAATTAAATTGATGATCAACAGTAATCGATATTAATAACATCACACAACTCAGACCTTGGTTTCCAAGCGGACGACAAATTTCAGCCGATCAATACTTACATATAAAACATCTCCGACGGCAAATATGTGAGGTATATTTGACTGTTCGTTCATGGCGTCTATCTTCTCACCATCTCCGGCTACTTTAACACCTGCCTTATCCAAATGAAGCTCTCGCGTAAGAGCTCTTCTTCCGATTGCGAACAACACGGTATCAAAAACATCTTCGAATTCCTGGCCGCTTTCATTTGTCCATTTGACAACCAACTTGTTATCAGCTCGCTTCTCGACAGATTTTGGCAGACATCTTAAAAAAATAACTTAAAATCAACGTCTCGAATATTTCATAGTTCGTACTTGTGGAGGAATTTAACTCCTTTTTCCTCCATTGCCGAAGCAATAAGTTTAGCCATTTGCTGATCGAAACCTCTCAAGACCACAGATCGAACCATGACTGTTGCATCATAGCCTAATCCTTTCAAAAAACCGGCACATTCCAAACCAATATCTAATTACAAATTAAGAATGAAATTACACAAAATTGAAAAAAAAAAGATGTTGCCTGTAATGCAAAATAAAAACTGATTGCAAATTCAGAATCCTTGAACATTTTCATTAAAAAAAACCCATTTTTTACAATTTCTTAATTTCTGTGACTGGAAATTGTAATTCTTGCACTTGATCAAAAAAAAAAAAACTTGGAAAATTTTAGTCACTAATATCAAAAACTATATTACTGATAAGTAGAATTTGATTACATATTCAAAATCCCTAAACAATTTTGCATAAGAAAAATCAATTTCTTGTTCAGTTCATTGATTATTTAATTTAACCAGAGACGATTTGGCGAATACGTGATGGTTAATAAAAATAAAAGGATACACCCAGCGCCTACAACTAGAGTTTTCCCCGGTGCTTCCTCCAAACTGAAAATATCATCGCTGGTAATACCATATTCCACAGCACCCGGTATATTCGGATAACGAGGTCTTCCACCTACTGCTATGAGAAAATACTTAGATGTCAATGTACGTTCTCCTTGTTTGGTTACGGTGTGAACTGTGTGAGGATCTTTAAAAACACCCAAACCATTGATGTATTCTACTTTTCTTAAAAAAATCATATAAATCAATCTTTCTGCATACCACTTAAATAAAAACTTACTTATCTCTAAGTTCTACTCTGGTCACCCAATTTACGGACCTAATGTGATTTTGCACCGCCTGTCTGAGAGATGCCCAGTCGTGCTTGATATTTTCTGGTTGCGGAAGTTGCCAACCATAACTCTTAGCATCCTACAAATTTAATTAAAAAAATATGTAAAAAATTACGCGTAAACTAAATTGAACATTTTTAAAGCATTAAAATTACAAAATAAAAGAATGCCATCACCCTGGATTCAATACCAACAAAAAACTATACAAAAACACAATTCTTTCGGTTTATGCGTGCTATAGTACATTACAAGCGAGGTGGTAAATATGGCATTACCCCGAGTGCTTATGTATACGATCGGATAAAGCACAAGGGGTGATGCCATTACCACCGAGATTTGTATGCTATTTTATTCACAATCACATTATTTTCAGTCAAAAATTTGAGTAAAATAAAATTATAAAAAAGTTAAGGTCCAAACGTGCTAAATAGCGTTTGATTTTTGTGCTTTACATAATCACTCGAGGTAATGCCATATTTACCACCTCGTTTGTAATGTACTATTAATTTTTATATTTAGAAATATCCCCCTTTAGAAAATGACTGCTTTTTTTTAAAGGAACAAATTAAATACACAGTATATTATTTAAACATCAAATACAGGGTGATTTACGAGGAATAATGAGCCTGACCAAATTCTCAATGCAACCAACAATACATTTTCATAGGTCAAGTAGATTACAAAGATTATTTGTAATAAATATGAAATTTTAACAAGCATAGTTACAATTTGTCAGTTTTGACATTGAAATAATGAAAAACGGAAGTAACTAAAATCCCAAAACAACAATGGGTATAATAAACCCACATTTTGCTCAGATTATAATAAATTTGTAGTGATTGTCAAAAACGACAATGATGATTATTGATAATGAATATCGTGCATCCAAATTATATATTTTTTTAAAAGTGTTGCAAAACAACTTGCGAAAATGTAATAGTGGTTGCATCGAGAATTTGGTCAGGCTCATTGTTCTTCGTAAATCACCCTGTATTTTTGTTCAGTAAAAATAATAAATACACAGTAAAGACAATGAATGTCCAGAATATCCAGTAAAACTAATATCCACACATTTAGTTTTCAACAAAATCGAAAAATCGCAGAGCGTTCAAAAACAAAATCGTGGTATTAGAAGCACAGCAATGGCGAAGGCTGACAAATTACAATAAAATACTGTGCGTGCATTGCTTGACATCTATTATTTTTACTGTGCAAAAATAAATTAAATGCTGAACATTTATTATTTTATTGTAAACAATTAAATTATTTAAAATTATTTAAACTACTTCAAAATTTAGTTGGCATTTTGTCAGTGCGTGAAATGACGTCAGTGTGTGAAATATATACCCGGTGAGTCATTTATAATAAAAACCCTAAACGATTTACAAACGCAACCCAAAATACATTCACAGATTCCACTATGCGTTAATTGATAAACAGTTTGAACATTTTCAGAGATATAAACATAGGTACTTGTGATAGCTTTGACAGTTTTTATAAATTGCCATCTTACGATGTACCTTTAACGGTGGAGATTCAGCCACAGCATTTTTGTAGCATTTTCAAACATCAAGATCAAGTCAGTTTTTTCGGCGTTTGAGTATATTTTGTATATTGAGTATATTGAATTAAAGGGAAAAAGTAAAATTGAATGGCATTGACAAATTTAATAAATCACACATAAACAACTATTTTGATTTAAATTTAATAATCTAAATTTTTAACAAAGACCAAGTTGTCTGTATATATTGCGTCTGAAAATCGGAGTCTTTATTACAAATAACTCACCCTGTATTTAACAAAAAATGGCTAGCTTTCAGTATTAATTTCGATGTGTAAAGTTTTTTTTCGCCAAATTCTTTTTTCTGAAAACAAATAATGTGTGGTTACGTCCTTTTTGTTCAGTCCGTAAATTTTGTATAGATCTAAAGATTCGTTTGCTTTAAATTTGCAGTAATAAAATTTTAATCTCAATGCCTAATCACAATTCAAGGTGTCCTTGATTTCGTACATTATATTACAATCTTAATGTATTTTAAGCTTCTTATAACTATAAAACTTTAATTAGTTAAATTTACAGAATGGATTATTAAAAATCTCCCAGCCATAGCTCCATTATTTTTAAAGATATAATAATATGTACTTCTTAGAACAAAGTTGCACAGCTTATTGTCATCTGATAAATAAAATAAAGTACAAAGTGTCCGTAAATGATTGAAGGTTCAAGTTGGCTTTGAAATAATGTTAACATCTGAATGTGCCGCTTTATACGATACTGAATACAGATAACACAAAAAATATTTGACATGTGACAGTGACAAATTTCAGATTTACTGCATTTTTAAATCAACGGCTTTTGTTGCAGCTTTAAATTGAGAACAAGAACTACACCGTGACAAGAAGAACAAATAATCACATCGTAATATTCTATTTTTCATTAAAATTCTATCAACTTTAGTGTCTACTTAGCCTATTATAAACAATGATTATCAAAAAAGGTTAATATGAGAAATCAGGTTCAAATCATATTGGATTCGCCACTTTTTTTTTGATTCAAAAAAATGTTCTCTTCCACACTATTCAAATGTAATTACGAAGTGATGGTCAAATGGGTGATCATTAAGAAAGGGTGCGTTGTCAGTTGTTTGACTTCTTACATCCTCTCCAAATATACCTGCAAATCATTTTTAAATGATTGACCACATACAAAATTTTGATTAGAGGGTGTGCTTTAAAAATCCTATTGTAATTATTGCACACTTCCTTAACTTTTGTGGAACAGTTTATTTTGTCTTATCAGTATTCAGTAGTATAAAGCGGCATATAAAGCGGCACATTCTGAGGTTGACATTATTTCAAAGCCAACTTGATCCTTCAATCATTTATGGACACAGTGTATAAGCTGTAAAAAATAGAAAATTTTATTAATTTTTTTTATCAAGCAAACGAATGATAACAAAAAACGGCTTAACTTTGACCAAAGAAGTATTGTCACATCTTTAAAAATAATGAAGTTAATTAAGGCTTTGAGCGTTTTTATAATCCAGCCTGAATCTAATGAAAAGAAAATAAAACCAAACAAAATTCACTTTTCAAATTAATCTATAAAATTACCATACTATGATAAAACCGTTATTTTTTTAATTATAGAGAAGATAATGAATGACTTACTAATAAAAAATTACAGCAGGTTTCCAGGTGATAATCCTCTTTGATCAAGTTTTAAATCTTCTTCTATAATTACTAGAAAATTAACAAAACGTCGAACACGTGACAAAAAATTATTTATGTGTAAAAAAATTAAGATCCAAGAGAATGTTCAAAGCCTGTCAGGCAGCAGAGTGCATTTAAATACCCGAAAAACACATTTTTAATAATGCTCCTAGCACAATGATGTTACCGTGCCATCTGAAGGACTTTAATACTAAACTAATTAATTAACTAATACTAAAATAATTAAAAATCTTCAAATTTAAAATGAAATCTTCACCGAATTTATAGTGCAATACAAACAATGCAAATTTTGGCATTATGATGTTTACAAAAACTACAAAAAATATAAAAAAAGTATAGGTCTACAAAATGGCGCGTAAGCTCTTCAGTACGTTAAAGAAAACGTTGCAATAAACTCCAGAGAAATATGTAATTTGAAAATTTTCTCATGTTTGAATTTTTTATTTCTTACCTTCTTTTGTTAAATATAGAAAGTTATTCAAAACTTTCTTTGTAATTTGCACATATTTGCTGATAGCAAATAAAATTATAAATAGCAATAGTGTGATAATAAATTTGGTAAAAAAAAAGATTTTTAAATAAATTTTTGACCAGTTCTTAAAAAAGTTCTCTATAATATGTTTAGTATACTATAAAGCATAATTTATTATATTATACAGAGTGTTTCGTTTTTATTGTTACAAATTTAAACAGGTGATAGAACTTTTAGTTTTAAGACAAAAGTTTCCTATAAACACGTATCAAAAAATGTTATGTAAGCGAGCTAGACCCCTGAAAGAGATGCGTTTTTAATGGGGTTTTCCCACTATTGCAGAATAGATAAAATTACAAGAGTTGGTGTAGCTGATTACTTTTAAACACTTGAACGAATTTAAAGATCAGTTGTTGAAATTTTTAATCACGGGTTTCTTAAATGGTGATACAAATTTAATTTTTAATTTTTATCCTCTTTATGGTCTGTAAGACAAATGGGGTACTGTACTATATTTTTTTTATTGTCTAAATTAAATCTTCATAAAAAAATAATATACCCGTGTATTTTGTTTATTGCGAAAGCGTGCATTCAAGGCAAAAAAAAATGTTGAAGTTGGTGTAAAATAAACACACTTTCAAACACACCATGTTTGCGCCAAGTGATCACGTGAGCAGACCCTGACGAACGCGCAAAATCAGCCAAAGCCGACAGCTCTAACCCAAGCTCCAGTCTGCGATGCGATGGAAGAAAGTCGTCGGTAAGAGAGACAAAATAGTGCTGCGTTTGCTGATTGGACAGGGAGGCCCGACGTCATCAAACGCGCATTGTAATACCGTTTAAATGTAGTGGATCAAAAACCACTTGTTTAAATCTCATTTATTTAAGAAATTACAGCTTAATTGAAAATCGATTTTTAGTTATATTGCTATTTAACAACGAAGAATAATATAAACCTAAATTTTGCCTACTTTTTTTATAGTATAGTACCCCATTGTAAACTGATTTTACTCAAAAAGGGTAAGTTGTATCAAAAAAACGCAAGAGACCTCTTTTATGTGAAAAACTATGGAATTTAAAATTTTGTGGCTAAAAGTGGCAAGAACCAACAGCCAAAAAAGTTAGAATACTTTTTACCCTAAACATTTTTTATTGACATTTTACCTTTAAATTCGTTTGGGTGTATAAAGATTATCAGTTGTACCAAAGATGCACCCCTTTCAGGGGATGTAGTCCCTTATATAATATTTTTCGATACATGTTCTTAGAAAACTTTTAACTTAAAATTGAAAATTCTATCACCTGTTTAAATTTGTAACAATAAAAACGGAACATCCTGTATAATACCGGATGTTCGATCCCAAACTCAAACATAGTGAAATAATGTTGAATGCAATTTTTACACTGTAGCCGAGATTACATTTTATCTGCCCCGCCCATTCGGTTTTCTTAGCGACCAATAAAATATATCTCCAAAAAGTGGTTTATGAATTTTTGATTTTTACATTCTGACAGTTGAGTTGACATATTTATAAACTGTTTTGAAAGATTTCATTATAATTTTGGGCAAAAGTGATGATGATAGTAATTTTGGCATTAGTTTTCAAAATTTGGATTAAATTATGTTTTAGAGATTTGTTTACTTTTTTTTACTTAACTCCAATTAAATTGTAAAAAAACTTTGACGTTTTTAACAACATCAAGTACCGCATACTTATTTCACGTATTGATGAATTTGATAATTATTGTATTTTAAAATAAAAATACCATTTTTATTCTTATTTTTTGGATCAAAAAATTTAAAATTTGACGGAAAATAATCTTGTCTTTCGGTAGGTACCATTGCCGCCTTACTTTTAAGTTGCATTTGCAAGCAGGGATCAGCAAAAATAAACAATACCGTATTAAATCCCTATGTTCGCAATTCAGACCAGACACCCGTTAAAAAAATAGAACATGTTCTTTAATAAATTAATAAACATATTGCATGTAGATAATCACACTTACGTCAACTAATCGACAAAACCAATAATAATTAATGTGCCAATCACTCGAGTGACATATGACGTCATAAAACTTACCTCTATAGCCTCTCCCAGTAAAGCAGCTTGATGCATCAATTTTTTTGGTATGCATCCAACATTGACACACGTACCACCAAGACCCCATTTGGTCCCTTTAGGTGAAGGAGTTACATAATCTAAAACGGCAACTTTTGCACCCAATCCGGCTGCTTCCTTAGCGGCAGCAAGTCCACCAGATCCACCACCAATTACCACCAAGTCATATTCTGGACCGTCACCTGCAAAACGAAGAAAGACTATTAAATTGAATATACAGATATGACCACGTATTACACTGAGTCATATTCAGATCATGTTCTGAAGTATTACCTAAACAGCAAATTAGAATTTTGTAAAATGGTGTGATTAGTACATACAATTATGCCATGGTTTCAATAAAATTTTTGATCAAAGTGACCTGTAACGTGGCATGATACTCGTACATAGTCATTCATCGAACTGAAAATAAGGGCATTATGGTAAGATATCAATTACACTTTAAAGTAAAAAAATATAAAACATAAATTTGACTCCAGTTGAACAATACTTCTACACACATCAGTGTTTCAACATGCTAAGAAAAACAAAAAAAAAAACTGAATAAAGCCTAATACTAATTAAATAGCAATTAAAAGTTGTTGAATAAAGTTTTTTTTCTACCAACACATCTAAAACACGGATTATCGTATATGTTTCCATGACGCTAAGTGACCTTTTATACATACCTTAACAAGCCGTGACTTTTATGCGTATTAGTCACGTTGTTAATAGCAACTGTCATATTAGTCACGGGCTGAAATTAGCTTTCTGTAATTCTAATAATTTTTCGAGTGTGAATCTGGCTACACGAAACGAAAATGTTGGGGGAAACGCGTTGTGAAGCGAGTAGCAAATTTTTGGTCGACTGTAATTTAAATTTTGCCCTCAAGAAAAATATTACTTATATTATATTACTTAAGTGAAGATGATGTTTTCAATAGAATGTGCACTCCACCCAAGATTACCGAAGCAGCGGCCTCAGCAACTGCTAATGTGCTGCCGGAAAAGTCAAAAAGTCAGTACGAAAGTGCATATAAACTTTTCCAAGATTGGTGTCAAGAAATTAAATAAATTCTTTATCTGAGAATGTGCTGCTAGCATATTTTCAAGATCTTTCGAAAAGGATGAAACCGTCTTCTTTGTGGACAGTCTACTCAATGTTGCGGATGACGCTTAACCTAAAAAACAATGTTTTTTCTACTTTGCGTTCGTACTAAGGCCAATACGAAACCGTTTTGAGTATCGTACTGAACAAAAACAGTGCTATAAAAATTATACTCAAAAGAGGGAAATTTAGTCTTATAATATTGGCGACCTTACCGTTTCTCTATCGAACTGTCAGTGTCAACTTTTGCTGTTTGGTTTAATTAATCAGCGCAAAAAATATTCAGAATTAACATTATGATTATAGTGGTGCTTACGCATACATTTAAGTCATTGGACAAAGGGAAATAAAAAGTACTTACTGCTACTTTTGAGACTACTCGCTGCGCTTGTCGTGTCCTAAACCCGTGCGAGCGACAAAATGCTTCTTATAAAACTCGTATTATAATATAGGGTAAACCAGGGTGATATGGTAAATCGTATGAAATGGCGACTTACTCTATTCCTTTTTCGGGCAGAGACATGTCTCTGTAATTCTATATAACAGTTGTTTATGATCATTTGTGCAGCGAGCACCTATTGAAAACCAGTCCCGTTTTGAAAAGCGTAAGTAATTTGTACAAAACTGTTTCCGATGCTCAATAATTTTTATACGGTGCAAGCGTTTGTAAATGCTGCTTTAGGTAGTTAGTCCCCGAGGTATTTTTTGATATGTTCTGCATTTTTAGACTGTTTTTATACACTACATAAGCTAGACATCGTTGCCTATAGTATTTTGAACTGCTTGCCGCACTATTCACCGTTTCAACCCTGCCCAATCGGAGACATGGTGAACTCGGGCATGGGTGATACAGTGAACGACTTTTTTCTTACATGTACTCATATTTCTCGGCCTAAGTAAAAGTTTTAACTATATCAGCATTGTTCCAGGCAAAGATGCCTACATATAAAATTTTATAAATAGTTTAAAAAATTTTATATTTTATAAAATGTTTATAAAATAGTACTAAAAAGGATAAAAAGGATTGGATAAAATGTATTAGATGCCAACTTTGGTTGCACAAAGATTGTACAAAATATGAGTCAATGTGTGATGATATGTAGGGCAAAAAGCAGAAAAAGTAGGAATTTCTAATATTTTTAAACAAATTAAACTAATATTTTTTTTTCAAATTGTTGTTATGTCTTTAAAAGATTACGACACTGTTAAGTTGTTACCTATACAGGGTCCACCAGAACTCGTGCCCCAGAGAAAAATGCCATATAAGGTAAGATGCCAGGAACACGGAAAAAATGTTAAAAAAAAATTTTCTATAAAAATTTCGAAGTTATGAGAGTTTAAAATTTGCACCTTGACTCTATTTATTTCTGTTGAAAAAATAATTTTCCAAGTTTTTTGCTACAGTCTATTAGAAAGAGGAAACAAAGAAGCTGTACCGTAAGTTGTAACTCTGTTCAATGTTATTTGTGGCTTTTATTGGCAAAATTTTCGTACCTTTACTCAATAATTGTAAAAAAACATATACAAGATTATCAGCATCATTAAATAGACATAAAAAATGTCAAACGTCAAAACATAAATGTCAAAATTATTTGACAGATAGAATTTTTTAAACACTTTTTTCATGTTCCTGGTAACTTATCCTACTTGAAATTTTTCTCTGGGGCGCGAGTTCTGGCGCACCTGTATATTTTAGGAAAGTATAGTATTTTTATTTTGTTTAAATAAACAATTTCTTGTGTTCTACATGGCTCATTTTTTTTCACCATATCACCCTGGTTTACCTTACAACTATGGCACACGTGTATTATTACAAATTAATCACTTAAAAAAATGTACCTCGCTGGCTCTACAGGCTCGATAGGATGAACATTTTATTGCGTGACTTATTTGTAACATAGACTTGTACCATAAATAAATTACACTCTAATAAAAAAGGTGTCATAAAACCTACCAATTGTTTTGACAGGTGGAATGAGAATAACGTTCTTATACTCTTTTAAAGTAGCAGTGTTTGTTTCCAAACAGCCAAAATTAATAGCATTGAACCGTATCTTTTCCTAGATTTCGCACATGTAAAACAATGTAAACTGCCTAAAATAAATCTATAAAACGCAAATAGCGTAAAAATGTTCATATGGTCGAGTAAAGAATCATCTTTTAAAAAACAATAGTAACATAACAAATAAAAAAAACGTTTCTTGAAAATGTGTTGAACAAAATACCCAAACAAATATTCAATTAAAAAGTTTTGTTTTTTAAATTTTGTATAATATTTGTTGCAAGCACTCCGATTTATTTTATTCTTCTAATTCAACTACTTTGACTTTATCATACTGACGTAATTAAGAACGTATTAAAAATTTAGTATTTTATTATTCACACAATAAATCTACTTTAGAATTTTCATGCGAATGTTTTTCCAATTTTTTTTTTTTCATTCTCGTTGTTTTACGCTACTTTAAGCTCCCGAACAATTCTATAGGAACTAATTAATAATTAATTACCTACTGTACTGTACTGTAAAAAATCAGTTGATAGTTTATGAAATGGAAACAGTTTTAGAAAACAGTGAAGATTACGAAATTGACAAATAAATTCCATTTTAAGTAGCTAATTCTAAAAAGAAATAAGTAACGACCAGTGTCTTGTATAATTATTACGGTTAATCAAATCTATATTTTTAAGAATTTGAAAAGTCCTTCATTAAATCCCATGGCCAGTAATATCATTTTATTCCTTGGGCGGTAATATAAAGGTTTGCCAACGTTAAGATTACAAAAATACCGATTTTTTTTTTCAAATTGTGTTGTGCGCCTCGACACACAGGTAATTTGAGTAATTTGTTATAAGAAAGACACTACTCTTCGAACTACACTCAAGTATATTTCTTATTTAACGGATACAATGGGAATGAATATTTAGCGAGTTTTAGGCCTATTTATATTACAATCTAAATGATAGTGAATGTTTACCAAAAAATATGGAAGGTCGAAATATAATAGGAAGATAATGAGTATATAGAAAGTTTTAAAAACATAATGATTTCCTTATTGATAAAAAGATTCTAACAAACATAATGAGTTTCTAATTAATATACTTATGAAAAAGATTTCTTATATTCCTAACACCCTAACAATTGTCAAGTTACGCATGATATTTTACTGAATTAGTATTGTTTCTGTAGTGGTTTTTCTTACTTCTGGGGCCAGTAGTATGCTCCATTTCAACAATTTTAATATCAGATTCACACATTATTTCAATATTTTCTTAGACATTTCTAAAATGTCGAAAATCAAACGCAATTAGATGGCCTACCACGTTTGGACCTTAAGTTTTTTAGAATTATTTTATTCAAATGTTTTACTAAAAATGATATGATTGTAAATAAAATTGCATAGAAACCTCAGTGGTAACGGCATTGCCCCTTGTGCTGGCGCCTCTCGATCATATACATGAGCACTCGGAGTAATGCCATATTTACCACCTCGTTTGTAATATACTATTAACGTTATTTGTGACTTTTATTGGCAACATTTTTGTACCTTTACTAAATAATTATGAAGAAACATATATCGAGCGATCAAGATAATTTGTAATCAAGTCATCCTTGGATCCGAAAACATATGTCTGTAAAATGTCAAGTCGAAAGGTAAAGTGGCATGGCAAAAGGTGATGATTATAATACCTAAATTTATAATTTACCTTCAAAAAAGAACGGTCCTACTTGTATTATTATATGTGGGCGACTAATTCCAGCCCATTTTGACGTTTTACCTTTCGACTTTTATTTGACGTTTCATGTGCAGTTAGTTCAAAAACAGACATACGTTCTCGGATGCAAAGAAGACTCGATTACAAATTATCCTGATCGCTCGATACAAGATCATCAATAACATTAAATATTAAATAGACATAAAAATATCAAATGTCAATATTTTTGACAGAATTTTTTAAACATTTTTTCCATGTTCCTGGTAGCTTATTTTTTCTCTGGAGCGCGAGTTCTGAAACACCCTGTATGTCGTCAAAGAACTTAAATCATAGCTGTGAAAACAGATGCAACTGTTTGTGGTAAATTTAATTTTTTGATGAGAATTTAAATTCAGGTTAATGGAATACGAAGTTTTTTAAATCTAGTTGGCCATGCATTACAGTATCAGCAATGGTGACATGACATGCATTAATAACAAAATAATTAGAAATGGGTTTTACGTTTTAAGCATTTTCTCATGATCAAATTGAATAACAGCTTATTTTTCCTACTATTTTCGTTATTGTAGCAAACCTATGATACACTGTCGACACTGGACATCCATCAACATTCTCTGGACAATTTTTTTAGACAAGGTAAAATAGACAACAATGTTGCAGGAGGTCAAAGTTATTTGAGACATAGGAGAAAGGAACAGACATTAGCAATTCCTATAGCAATTAAAACTCCCAAGTTATGAATAAAAGCAAAGTTGATAATGTGACACTTTAGAAAAAGCAATTGAAAGATAATTTATCAAACATGTAGAGATAATAAAACAATCGGACTGCTATTATAATTCCAATAAAATGCTCATAATTTCCCAACTTTTCCAATAATCTACCGATGACAGGATGACACAATCACAATGTTGAAGGTTAGAAAAGTGCAGCATCATTTTCGAATATCAGTCTAAAGCAATTTGCTACTACAAAACTATCACTTACTTTTAGAGTACCAACGAATATTATTGTTAATGCAATTCACATTTTGTAACACTACAAATTTTGAATTTTTCACTTTACAAACACCACGAAAAATGACAGTATTAAAACATAAACGCAACGCCATAGCACTTTTGACGTTCACGGTAATCGGTGGCCTTCGTACACTGAATTCGATTTTACATTAAAATAAGTAATAAACGTGATTAGACGACGACATGAAGTCGATTCTTGTGACCGGCTGCAACCGTGGAATAGGGTTAGGTTTGATTAGGCATTTAGTGAAAGAAAAAAATCCCCCAAAACACGTAATAGCAACCTGTCGAAGCATTGAAAAGGCGAAGGTAAGACCCGGAAATAGAAAACGTTTTAATTATTAGACTTACCTATTGGGGCCATTCCTATTCACCAAACTTGAGACGGGAAGCAAAAAACGTTAAAACAGAAAACTTTTAGTATTTTTTGCTTTGTCAAACCGGCGGCGACAAACACAACCGATCAGTACGTTAATGTTCGTTCAAATAATTACAATACCGGAATTTAATTAACTTAAAATTATTTGTAGGGATATTTTGATGTACGCCAGCGCAAATTCTGACAGTGACAGGCGCGAAACGCGTAAAACTAATCCTAGGGACATCTAGTCATCGCGTAATGAATCATTGACGCCTTTCTATTTTACCACTTCCACATTTTAGATTTTTCTCGAAAACTGCCAGTCATTGGAATAAATTTTCTATCTTTACAAAGAATTTTCTTTTATATTATAAGAATTAGTCGAAATGGTTGAAGTATACGTAAAGGCCTCAACAGTATCAACCATGGCCACCTAGATTTTTTAAAGCCAATTTACATTAGTTAATAACTCAATTTTATAGCTTCTTTGCGCAAACACATAAACTGTGATTACAAATTTTGTGACCATGGTTTACTACAAACTATTCAACTAATGGCTTTTTTTCTTGTGCAATTTTCTATTTTATTTAAAAAAATCCCTTTGCATGCGCCATCTAACGGGAATTTGTGATGTAAAGAAGAGACATAAATGATTTATGTCCTTGCGTTATTTTTTATTAAGTTGTTATTACAAGGATTGGGAAACTAAATTTTGAAAAGTTGAATCTAATGTTTTTAAAAACCATTTCATTATAAATAATCGCAGTCCAAATAGGTTATGCCCTTGTATTTTGAATTTTGCCGCTCTACTTCAAACCTAGAACATGAATGTGAAATCTGTAAGTAAACAGGATGTTCCGTTTTTATTTTAAGATAAAAGTTTCCTATGAACATGTAACAAAAAATATGTATTATATACCAGGTGAATAAAAAGTATGGAACGAAGCGTTTTTCTCGTAAACTAACCACTTTACAAAAAAAATAAAAGCGTACGCTACACTAATTATTTTTTTTTGTAAAGTGGTTAGTTTACGAGAAAAACGCTTCGTTCCATCATTTTTATTCACCTGGTATATGTACAGGTGTTCAAAAAATCACGCACTTCCTTGGAAGGGAGTAATTGGGTAGTCCCCCAGAATACTGAAAAAATGTTTAAAAAATCCTATCTGTAAAAAAATTGTGACATTTATTTTTTTTGACATTTGACATTTTTTTAAGTATATATTTAATGATACTGATGATCATGTATATGTTTTTTATAATTATTTACTAAAGGTACAAAAATTTTGTCAATAAAAGCCAAAAATAATAACACTAAACAGAATTACAATTTAGGATACAGCCTCTTTTTTCCTCTTCTAATAGCCTGTAACAAAAAAACTTGGAAAATTATTTTTCCAACAGCAATAAATAGAGTCATACCTAATGTAAAATTTAAACTCTCATAACTTCGGAATTTCTAGAGATGGATTTTTTTAAACATTTTTCTTGTTGTCTAGGGCACAGTGTCACGGAAGTGCGCGATTTTTTGAACAACCTGTATAAGAAAGCTACATCCCCTGAAAGAGGTGCATCTTTTAATGGATTTTTTTCCAATATTTCAGAAACTATTGTAGATAAAATTACAAAATTTGATACAACTGAAATTTTTACTCAGGGGCGTCCTAAACTGGGGGAATTTAGGAAAAAAAGTACCTTAACTATTTTGGTTTTGGGTTCTTGCCACTTTCACCAATTCTAAATTACATAGTTTTTTACAAAAAAAGAGGTCTCTTGCGCCTTTTTGATACAACTTACCGTTTTTGAGTAAAATCAGTTCACAATTTGTCTTACAAACCATAAAGAGGGTAAAATTAAATTCGTTTTACCGTTTTAAGACGCCCGTGATTGAAAATTTCAACAACTGATTTTTGAATTCATTCAGGTTATCAGCTGTATCAACTTTTATAATCTATTCTGCAATAGTGGGGAACCCCATTAAAAAACGCATCTCTTTCAGGGGATGTAGCTGGCTGACATTTTTTGATACATGTTCATAGGAAATTTTTGTCTTAAAATTGAATATTCAATCACCTGTTTAAATTTCTAACAATAAAAACGACACATTTTGTAGATTTATTTTATGAAGCGGCACCCGACATATTTTACATTTGAATTTATGGCGAACTTAGACTACCGGCGTTTATAGTGATCTTGCATAATGCAATAGTAAGTTTTGGAATTAGAAGATAGTACAAAAAGAAAGAGGTAAAATTAAGAAAAGATACAATTAATGGTTTTTGACTTACTGCTCAGCAATTTGGCACACAGGTGTCTTTTTTAAAATTATGATTCATTAAAAATAATTTATTTTTTAACCTATATCTACATATTTTGTTTTTTACTAGTTGGCATTTTAACGTTGTTAATTTTTACATTACATCACTAAAATTTATGAAATGCCGATTTGACACAAAAACCATTTCACATTTTGTGTTCAAATTGTCAATTTGAATCCGCTAATACAGGGTGTTAAAAAAGATTGGAAATTATTTAAGGAGGTAATAGTATGGACCAAAATAAACAAAAAGCCTTGATAAACATGGGTTTGCAAAGTAACGGTTTCGGAGATATCGAATGTGAAAATTTTTAGAATTCTCACTAGAAGCTACTCTTTTTTGTTTGAACAGACTGCAAATAAATGTTTAAAAAAATAATAATTTTCGATATCTCCGAAACCGTTACTTTGCGGACCTATGTTTATTAAGACTTTTTTGTTTGTCTCGGTCCATACTATAGTATGGTATGAACCATTTCCCAATCTTTTTTAACACCCTGTATACACCATTTCAAAAATACGAATATCATTTCTTATTTATACTACAGTTGTTTTTTTTGTAAAAGGATTTAAAAAAAAACTGAAAATACTGAAATTTTTGGATACATTATTTGGATATACAGGATATCCAGAAAGTCGCGCACCCCCGTAACTCTGTGTCATCGGGCGGTGCCCTAGACAACAGAAAAATGTTAAAAAAATCTATCTATAAAAAGTTCGAGAGTTTAAATTTTGCATTTTGACTATTTATTTCAGTTGGAAAAATAATTTTCCAAGTTTTTTTGCTACAGGCTATTAGAAGAAGAAACAAGGAAATTCTAACTGTTTAGTGTTAATTGTGGCTTTTATTGACAAAATTTTTTGACAGAATTTTTTAAACATTTTTTTAGTACTCTGGGAGACTACCCAATTACTCCCTTTCGAGAAAGTGGGCCACTTTCCGGACACCTGTTTTTTTATATTTTTCTTCTAGATTAGTTTTTTTAAATCTCACAAATTTGTTAAAATTAGCAAAAAGAAACAAACTAATTTTCTATTTTTGTCCGCGTAAGTTTATATTACATAGTTATCAAGCCCACAAGTGATTTTTTTTTCAATTCTAGTTTTTGTATTCATTTTTTGTGATTTCAGTGATTTAAAAAAGTCAATTTCATTGCTAGAAAAATTACACTAAAGGTACCACTATAGAAAATTTCTCTCTCTTTTCCTCTTTCTAGCATAATTTTAATGTTTTAAAAAGGCCACTGTATGACTCTTCTTGTTTTATTTCGATATTATATTTAATGTGCTTAGGATTAACACTGGTGATTGGTGGTGAATTAAAATTTAATTTAAATTAGATGCGCTTTTAATCGACATTAATTAATTAATCGAGTCATGGTTTTAATTTCAAGCAAATATGAGAAAAAAACTAGGCAAAACGGGAAGTCTCTTCTGAAGTCCCCAAATATTTGGCAGTTTTCAGGTCCAATAAAAATTCATCCGTTTAAGGAAATTTACAAATGAAACATATCTCAAAAATTTATACAAATGTTTATTTACAAACCAGTAGGTAATATATACACAATGAAAAATACATAATAAAAATTTTGCCATCCTGTGGTCAGAAGTATGAATTGGTTCAGTTCGAAATTTACAATGTCTTATACGATACGATAATGACCGCCCCAAATCACAGTTACCAGACCGAGTTGTAAGATACGAGTATCTGTCTTAATCCTTTGTCGCTTAATGAAAGGAAAAAATTTATTTTGTAAATTACTACACTTTTTCAAAAAACTGAATGATAAATGATAAAGTAGTAAAGCTGAAGATTCCCATTTTTTGATTTTAATCGATAGCTTTTGAAATAAGTAAAAACTTGTTAATTCTTTACATAAAGGCGGATTTAGGTAAAGAATTGAAAATTAACAGTGATTTCAATACATTCCAGGCAAAAATGTGTCGTTGAGGGTGTTATTTGCCTAAGACATTTTATGTTTATTATCGGGATTCTAATACACAGGACAAAAAGGTTTCAGGCCAATAACACCCTTAAGGACAAATTTTTGCCTGGGATAAACTCCACTCAGCGGCATAATTAGAGCCACCCTATAAATTTAAACCGCACTCCTTGACTTGGAATATTAGGAATTGCTGTAAAAATTTTATTTGATTTAAAATGAAGCCACAACTCACATTCTGTGAAAAATTTGACCACAATCACATGAAATCCTTTACTGTTGATAAATAGTAAGCAACCCTTAACTTCTACATTAATTAATAAATTTATTGGTAAATAAAACAATAAATTAATTATTTTGTGAAATGGTGACTTTGAACATGAATCAGATCAATTTTTAATTTTAAAGAAACGTTTCAAATATTATTTTACGAGTATTCCTTTCAAAACAAGTCAAATGCGATAAGTGATTACTCATAGTCAAAATTCTTAATAATTTGAGCAAACGATTTATCAATTTTCGTCAACTCTCCATCGACCCATCCCAATGCCGGAAAACCGACAAATGCCGACCATCGGCTCCATCCCATCTGAAACGGCCGAACGTGCCTACTCGAGAGCCGAGTTTTGTGTCATTACTTCTGAAGCAGATTGTACATACATACCTGCTACTATTTTTACTTGTACATAAGTTGTTAGTAAAAGACTTTTATACCATGCTTCCAAATAAATTTCTGATCAAATTCGACAAATAAAAGTAAAGATTTGATCAATTTTTTTTGTTAAAGATAAAAAGATATTGCCCTACCGATGTAAACTTTGGGATAAAGTACTCAAAAGGTTCAAACTATCGTTTAAGCATACATATTGCATTTTTTTGACAATTTTTTCGTCGCCAATGTGAAGGTTATATCTCAGAAACTATAAGCATTCGGATAAGGCAAGTTTAGTTGTTTTAACTTTTTTTGAGCTCTACTATCACCTGTTAAAATATTAGCACATACGTTAAAATCACCCAGCATAATTTATCACTGAGTTTGGTATTGCACATTTGGCTCGAAAACAGTGTATTTACCTACTACAAATTTTACTAGGGACAAAAAAATCGTGCCAATGTTCGCCGGTATTCTTTTCAGGAAAAATGTTTGATTCTTGATAAAATTCATTACTTACTTCTTTATCAAAAAATTTAAATTTATAGATTATTACTCCTATCTGATAAGGTCCAGAGTTGTACCACATCACAAATGTGCATAAAATAAAAAACACTTACCATGTTTAACTTTTCGATCGTGAACTTTCACACCGCAACAGACGAATCTCATTTCAATACCCCAAAATTTGACATTAAAAAAGTCAAAATGAAAGAAAAAAATGGAACGCAAGTAGTGATCGTAATAGTTATTAATCTGTTGCACGTACGAAAGATAAGAGAAAAGACTGGCGAGATAATTCAAATAACTACAACCAATTAAGTAGAGTCTTTATCGATAGATACCTACCCCTCAAGCAATTAAGTGGAGCAAAGTGGATTAAAATTGATTCTGACAAGCTCACATGTCACAAAACATTTGATCAATAGTCTTCCCTTTCCGCAACTCAACTAAAATTAGATTCGTTTATTTATTATTGTAATTATCCTTTTAAATAAAGATGTCAGCGAAGCACTGCACAATATTCAAGTTTATTTTTTCAGGATTTGCAACAAATTGCTTCTGAAAATAAAAATGTCCATCTTTTGGAATTGGGTAAGTTGTTAGTATCAAATTAGAAGCAAAATATTTATGTTTGGCTGTATTTCAGATGTTCGAAATTACGACGAATATGACAGTTTTTCGAAAAAAGTGGGAAATATTGTCCAAACCGATGGCTTGAATATCCTTTTTAACAATGCAGGAGTTTCGTCCAAATTTACAAGAGTTCAATTGGTTAAATATGATCAAATGTTAGAGGCTTTCAAAGTTAACACTATTGGTCCAGTTATGCTTACAAAAGTGAGTTTTAAACACACGGTAACATTTTTATTTAATTAATGTTTTGTAATAGGCTTTATTACCACTTTTGAAACAAGCCGCTAAAAATAATTCCGATAAGCCTTTGGGAGCACAGAAGGCTCTAATTGTTAACACCACCTCAGTTTTGGGGTCTATTGCCCTGAACAGTGATGGAGGATTTTTTCCTTACAGATGTTCAAAGGTAAGCTTCTTTTTCTCTTAAAAATTAATTTAGGTGTTTTTATATTTATTAGGCTGCTTTGAATATGGCAACAAAATCTTTAAGTATTGATCTCCAAAAAGACGGAATTCTGGTGACTGGAATCCATCCAGGATGGGTGAAGACTGATATGGGAGGATCAAATGCACCCATAGATGTAGATACAAGTGTCATGGGTATTTTTGAAGTAATAAGAAATGTGAATGAAACACATAATGGGGGTTTCTACCAATATGATGGAAAACAGCTAGAATGGTGAAACTTGAAACATAACAAAAGTTGCTGCTTTTAATTAATATTTATTTGGTTATGTTTCATATAGTTTATTTCTTTAAGTTGTTGTTATCAACATTACACAGGGAAATAAAATAAAATTATAAAAACTGCAGTCCATAGAACAATTCTTTAAGAACTTGATGACTTTGAAATATTTTAACACTTTTTGAAAAAAATACTTAAGAAATTCTTAAATTTTTTTATAAAAAAAGATTTCTGATGTCCTATTTATTAGTTTTTGTTAAATAATAATAGGACCGTCCTTTTGTGAAGGTGAATCATAAATTTAGTTATTAAAATATCATCTTTTTGATAATGCCATTTTACCTCTCGACTTGTTATTTTATTTCACGTTTCACAGACATAGGTACATAAAGTCTGTTTTTTTTTTAAATGGAAATGCCAAACCGTCTTAAGGGTGGCAGCACTAGTAAATTCATTTATGGTAATTTTCGTCGTCTGCGTTGATTGACAGTAATAAAAGTCTGGGCAATAGCCCAAAATCGTGAACTTGTCAAAATGTTAAATTCCGGTAGATGACGCGCGCGTCCAAAGGAAACTGTAATTTGTGAAATTTGAAAATTGGCAGGAAATTCATGTTACAATTGTTGACACATTTAATAAAAATATTGATCTGTTACACAACTAATACATTTTTTCAGCTTAAGAAGCGCAGTATCAATATCATTCAGACATTACATTATAATTTTTAAAATGCCAAGTATCCGAACTTGCTGTGTTCCAAACTGTGGGCAAGGGGATTGTATTTTACATCAATTTCCAAAAAGAAGAAATCAAAAAAAAACAAATGGCTTTTAAGAGAATATTTGGTACCATCGGCAATATACCCCCAAATTCCGTGATTTGTGGAAAACACTTTGAAATAACGAGCTATTATAAAAACAAAAAATTGTTACCAAATGCAGTTCCATCCTTGCTCTTGAATTATAAAAGAATTACTCGTTTTCAGGTAATCTCTACCACTTCCATTAATTCAGAACGTAAGCCGTTAGAAACGTCTGCACCGTGCCTCCAATCTCCAGTCATTTGACAGAAATTATATAATTTCAAGTCTATTTCGATTTGATTTGATCAACAAAGCGATTTAAAAGTAGGTGATACTCATGATTTTGATTTAAAAAATGTTTCAGATGCAATAAGTTAGGCACTTACTAGATAAAATTAAAAATTTAGAAAAAAAGTTACAGGAAGCAAATGTAAGATTTCAAAAGTTGAATAAGCTATATGAAAATAAACTTTTAAAACTAAACAAAATGCAGGAAAAAATTGACAATTACAGTAAAGGTCAACATTGTGTAGTGAAAATTGAGTTAGATGAACTAAGGGCTGTGTTTTTACTTGATCAAATTTCTAATTATTCCCTAAAAAACCCAAGATGGTCTGAAGTTACAGTACGTCATTATATTGCCTGGAGGTTTTTAAAAGCTCTAATTTAATTAAAAACAAAATAACTGCTGAAAGCAATAATTTAAAAGACTTTGAGAAAATATGTTTATTTTTTAAATAAATAAAATTATATTTGTGTATAAAATGTTTTAATTTTTGATGTTTTTCGTCCAGTTTATTATTATACAACCCATAAAACACAAAAGTAAATTTTTGTATACAAAAATTTATCAAGGTTTCAAACCAAAATATACAGATTCCATTGGAGCGCAAACTCGTCGCTCCCCCAACGGCCATTTTTTGGCATTGCCCAGACTTTTATTACTGTCAATCAACGCAGACGACGGTAATTTTAATGAAGGAAGTTTGAAATAATTTGAAAACAATGTCATTAAACGTCAACACAAAAAATAGTCTAAGAAAATTTAGAGACGAAACACCAAAAAAGGAACAAATTCAGTATCGGTAACAGTTTTTAGACATTTGGAAACGAATAGTTCGCAAGCAAGAAGTTAGAAAAAGGGCCCGTTAAAATGTAGACGCAATTTGTAATGCAGGTTTGCTAAACATTCTCAATTTTTAGCAAGAAATTGACAAGAACATAAAAATGAATGAGTAAGAAGCTCGGAAAGAATGTGTCTTGTGCATCGTTTTTGAGGAACGAGTTGTAAAAGTAACAATTTTGAAACTAAACCTGAAGAAGAAAGTGTATCAACTTTGAGCTCATTTCAATAAATTACAAAAAATTTATTGCCAATCATCATAACACCTACTTGTATCTTTTTCTAATTAACTTTTTTTCTGTATATACATCCTTTTTTTTCAAAGTTTTTGTAGCAAGAATCTCATTTTTGTCCACAACATTGTACTTACTTGCGGAGTGTTTCTATCAAAATTATTAGCACTGAATTTTGTCTAGACATTAAGTAATGATGTCTGTCCTCAGGTATTTACTTATAACGCTTTCAACGGGGCAAACAGGCACAAAATATTCATAAAAGTCAAAATTTTGACAACATCTCAATTTGAAAACATAACCATAATTTTTTAACAAAATTTCTAGGGACAAAAACAAAGAGCAAACAAAATTTGTGGCTATGGAGACAAGCTGCTACCAATTTTTTCACCAAAATTTTGACTTGGTAATTTCCATTTAAAGAAAAAACACACTTTACTTTATTAGACTGGGAAATTAAAGGTTTGGTAGTAATGTTGCTTGAAGAATCAAGTAACATAATTAAAGAATTAGTAACCACACAAAAATCATCTTTCCTGATATTTTGTATTTTTGAATCTTGAAAATTTCAATTTACAAAACGAACATAAAAAAAATATAGTTTTCTCATTTAGTTCATCATAACAGAATTGACCTTATTTCACATGAATTGTGAAAATGTGAATATGTTTTCAAAACTTTAAAATATTTTCAAGTGTCATTAAATAAATGAACAATAAAGTAAGAAGTACTTTCGTCCTTATGACGTTAAGAATAAGAAAGCAACTTTAACACTGTTAGAATTTCTGCAAAGCATTTAGATGCAAAAACTCTCATTTATAGGTATGCATATCTTTTTGTAACTGAAGTGTTAAACCGTATTTACACAAAGTGCGCCAGAACTCACGCCCAATGTAAGGGGCGCCATGTAAACTAAGATAGAAAAAATGTTCAAAAAATTCTATCTATAAATATTTCGAAGTTATCAGGGTTTAAATTTTGCACTTTGACTTTATTTATTTCTGTTTGAAAAATAATTAGAAGATGAAAGAAGGAAGCTGTATCCTAAATTGTAACTCTGTCTAATGTTATTTGTATGTAGTTTTTATTAGCAAAATTTTTGTACCTTTACTAAATAATTATAAAAAAAAAAACATATAGAAGATCATCAGTATCATTAAATAGACATAAAAAAATATCAAATATAAAAAAACAAATGTCAAATTTATTTGGCAGATACAATTTTTTATATATTTTCTCATGTTCCTGGTATCATCTATCTATCTTATCGTACTTGAAATTTTTCTCTGGGGCGCGAATTCTGACACACTCTGTATACAGACTGATGACGAACCCTTTTTACGTTTATACCGTGCGATCAAAAAAAAATTAGAGTAGGCGGTGATTAAAGTCCTTCAGATGGCAATCCTGATTTTTGACATCAAATGTCAGCGGTAACTTTAACAAGTTTGCGTTTTATTCCTTTTGAGTGAAATAATGTTCACTTTAGAGCAGAAAATTTTTATTGTTTTACAAGAGGAAAACGGTGGATGGTTATTTTCACTTTCATGTGAAAAATTTCCAGCCCAGATTCCCAGCCAAAGTGTTGCCAACTGTAGAATTTAATCGACGCCTACTCTAATTTATTTTTTATTTGATCGCACGGTATCTTTTAGGGGCAAAATCCCCTTGATCTGTGCCACTTACCGCGTTTATGAATTATGGCAATGGTCAAGTACATTTTTATCAAATTAGTACCATGGTTTCCACTACCTGTGCTTATACTAATTACGAACATATCTGTGGCGTACGCTTTACCTCGAAAATAAATTTTATTTGGAAAACAGTTAAACAAAAAAAAATTTTAATATTTTTTCCAGCATGTTCTTCTTTGATATTACCAAGAATAAAATTTTGTCGATCTATTTAAGAATCACCCTGTATACACCAAATCTTGTAGCGACCAAAATTTTTAATGTAAAAAGTAATCAGAAAATCAATGTTAAATAAAATAAAAGCAATCGTGATAATGATAATATTTTGACATTGGTTAATAAAAAAAAATAAAGCAAATAATCGCTGGGTATACAGGCTGTTTCGGAACTCGCGCCCCAGAAAAAAATACGAAGTAAGATAAGATACCAGCAACATGGAAAATATGTTTAAAAAAGGTAGTATCCCCGTTACCGGCAACGGCGCCCGTACGAGTTTAAGTTTTGCCGCTAATTTTACTTTTTTTTTCCTAAATTTCGCTACTTTTATTTTCAAGTTTAAAATAGTTTTTTAAGCAATACCAATAGTTGGTGAAGTTGGTTTCATCTTTGTTTTACAATTAAGATCCGGGATATTGACAATTATTGTTTTTATATTATTATTTATTAAGGTAAATTTTTTTGGGAACAACTTAAAAATGCACAGTATATTATTTAAACGACAAGTATTTTTTATCAGTAAAAATAATAAATACCCTGTAAAGACAATGAAAGAATGTCTGGCAAAGCTAATTACATAATCTATAATATTCACACATTTACAAGCAAAATGTTTCCGAGCAACATCGGAATGTCGCGAAGCGTTCAAAAACAAAATTGTGGTATCAGGAGCATAGCAGTGCAAGAATGGCGTACGCTGATTAGATTGTGCAGTTTCCAGCCCTTGCTAAAATCATTCTTGCGCAGGGGCCCTTGCTAATACATACAGGCTGCGCTAGAACTCGCGCCCCAGAGAAAAATGCCATGTGAGGTAAGATACCAAGAACATGGAAAAAATGTTTAAAAAATTCTATCTGTCAAAAAATTTTGACATTTATTTTTTGACGTTTGACTATTTAATGATACTGATGATCTTGAATATGATATCTGATATCTTACCTCACATGGCATTTTTCTCTGGGGCGCGAGTTCTGGCGCACCTGTATACCACCCTTCAATAATAATCAACATTCAGTAATAAAAAAAATAAGTACCAATAGTAAATAACATTCTTGCGCA